AAACTCATTATTTTACATATTAAAAAACCTGCTTTGACATGGTTTACAGTTAAACTATTGTTTTGCGATTTTTCCACTCCTTTTTTTTGCATTTAATACCCATTATGCATTTAATACCCATTATGCATTTAACATATATCACCGAGCGACCAAAAACATTTTTATATCCAATTTTTATACCAATTTTCATACAAATTTTGTATACACATTTTTTAAACATACATCCTTTTATATATTTATAAATAAACCTGTTTGACATGCACAAAATACATGTATTAATAATCAGAACGCGGCGGGAGAGTTTGTCAATAAACAATAAGAAAATTAAACAAAAAACGCCGAGGTATGTTATGTCGCGCAAAGTATGTTACCGGTATGTCACGCGGCTGGTCAGACTGGCCAATCGAGATCGTCAAAATAAACATCAACCATAATATAATTATTTCATCAACACGATAACTAGCAAGTCATGTGGGGGCGGGGTAATAAAACGGCCAGGTGTCTCAATTATCAGGAGCAATTATGTATACAAATCATCAAAATAAAAATAAACAGTCTTATAACAAAGGCATTCAATACGATAGGCTAATGAAAAAATCAAATGACACAATAAAGTACAATAAAAATATCAACACACCTGCACGCCATTTCTTCCATCTTCGCCGTGCAACTCTTCCTCCTAAACAGGCTTCTTCTTTTTCTTCTTCTACTTCTTCTTCCAGTACTGTACAAACCTGAAAAAAATCAAATGACGCAATATTAACACACCTGCAAAATCAATTTTCCATCTTCGCCGTGCGACGTTCCCTCCTAAACTGATCTTTTCTGTGCTCAAATGATCACGTGACCTATAATGTGTGAAGCGGGAAAATTGTCCGGGGGTTTTCGCCGTACTTCGGTCAACTCTGACCTTTTCATTATTGAAACAACAATAGATTTAACCAAGTGTTCTTTTGTTAAAATAAATATGGCGGGGTAAAATTCCAATCGCAACTTTTCGGCCCTTTCCGTCTGTTTTCGGACACGTATGAGTCCTACGCTAAGAAACAAATAGTAACATATACATTCATACTTTCAAGTTAAATTTCAGATACTTAATTTCTGTTTAACCGTGCCTTCTCCTACACATTACAATGCATCCTCTTACAAATTATTGTATGCTGCATTAATGAGTTAAACGTTTTGTATGACTTAAAATTACGTTCTCGATACCCATGCGCAACACACAAGAAACATTTACAAAATTGTCGCCCTTGCACATATTTTGAGAATAGCGTCAAGTTATCGTAAAAAAAGACGTTAGCTCTGTGGTTTTCAATACGCTATACATTACCCACAAAGACAGCTGCTTTTTAACAGCAGAATATTAAAAAATATTTGATTCAGATTTCAGCTATTTAAAAACGAAGACGGAAATGTTGTCTTTAAATTGTAGAAAATGTATATACGAAATATTTGTTTAAAAAAGAAAGAAACAAAGATGTTTGAGAGTATTATAGTGGACATGTAGCTCTATTTAATGCAACAGGCTTACCGAAATCGAGTTTCAAATTAAAGTTTTACTCCGTTTATGTATCTTAATTAATTTCAACGAATCAAGTAATATCTTTCTGCAAAGTAATTTTCTAAAAATGAAAATCAATTTTCTTCTCATTTTAGAATTGTTATACCAGTCAGAGATTGTCAGGACAACAGTGAAATCTTTTGTCATTTCAAACACAGTGATGGCGTTGGAGACGGTCATGACAAAGATGCTGATCAAGGAACGGAAGTTGATGCTTCGTATCATGGCATTGTAACCTACTAGTATGCCAGCGTTCTAGAAAAACAGAAAGCTGGAGCGTCGGGCCGAAAAGGAAAGGGAAATTAATTGTAAAGAAATCCGTAAGAGTCGATGAAGGAAACATGTCACGTAAGGTAGATAACTTGTTAAGTTTAATTAAAAAGCTAGAAAGCACGCGGTGAAACGAACCCGTTCATATTACGAGTTTTGCAAAAGTGTAGACGCTTTCCTTAGACATGTAGAAAAACCGAAAGTTTACATCAAATATTCCGAAAAGGGGAGATGGTGTGCAACGCGAGGGGTTTTACAGTTTTGGAGTTAGAAAACGTGCCATTATTGGATATGGCTTAATGTTTCCAGCAGAAGTCACCTGCAAGAATATATTTAAACAATATCTTTAGCACATGATGATATGCTACGCCAAAAAAGCAAACGACAATTTTCGCCATATTTCAACTGCTCGCAATGCATTGACATGTCCAGATCCGAAACCATTTGAATGTGTCAAATTTAAGCCCGAGTTGTGATATATAGTTTCAAAAGACATGTCAATGATCATAAAAGAGAGACATCTGCATGTAAGCTATTCAAGAGCCACTATGCACGTGCATTCACGAACGCAAACATTGTCTCTGCCATTTAAAGGAATACACCCTTTAATGCACTGGATAGACTTAATCTATAAATTTTATATTTGCGTGCCTGCCAAATGTTCAAACAATAATGTTAACTTACCTGCAGAAAAGTTTCCATCATGGAGAAATACAAAAAAATCAGCAGACGACAATTGTTATGGATACTGTTTACTTCCGGTATACTGTCTGTTGACATTGAAAGATTCATTTGGCATTATTCCACATTAAACCTTTGTATAACAAGTACGCGATCAAGTTTACGCTTTCAGCATATACAGACGTATCTCTTTTGGATAGTTAAAACCTAAGCAAAAACATTTGCTCACTACAAACGAGAAACCATCAAGCAGATCGCCTAATCCAGTTGGTGAATTTTCACGGTTCTCAAAATCAAGCCTTGAAGACGAGCACGCGACAACCTATATGCCAGCAGTAGCAGACGATCAAAATAATTGCAGACGACAAGCAAACAGCGGGATATGAAAGAATCATTGACGGATCCTTTTGGAATAATGTCTGCTTACTGTAACAGCGAGATTCATTCTAGGTATTTTTTTTTAAATTTCTAAAATATAATTCATTCACGGAGCTAGACTATTTTTAAACACAGCTATAATATAGTATTTAATACTAACTAATTTTAATATGTTGTATACAGACAATAAAAGTATTACATAACTCATTTTAGATACAATTTATGTGTTTTTTATTACGTACGGCGACATTGTATTTTCCCTCCGACATGTACATGTACTATTCCATTTTTGTATTTTCTGATCGCAAGATCAGTAAATACATAGCTAACATCCACGGTCTAACACAAAATTTCCTAACAGACCCTAACAACGCAAAGTAGTTCCACTCAAAACTGCTTAAAAACCAGCAATTTAAAAGACAGAATAATTTTTAATGTAGACATTTAACGAATTACATTGCATTGAAAGTTCAGATTAGTCAATAGAAATACGAGGTTACAATCACAAATTTTGCGGATGAATATCATTTTAATCAATGAAAATGCTATTTTTAGCTATGTCGATTACTGAATAGTCCAGGGCGTAGTACACAAATAAATCTGACTGCCGAGTAGTGGAATATATACATGTCGGACTGTTTTGGCGAGAAGATTTTCGCTAAATTATTTTTATCAGTGTTAAACAGGTTTATCGTGAACAAAATACCTCGAAATGGAAATTCTCAATTTAGAATTACAATGAATTTGTTTTTATTCAGGCTACATATTACGTATTACTTCACCGTGGTGCAGGGGTATCGCGCTCGTTTAGGGTGTGAGAGGCCTAAGGTTCAAATCCTAGTCGAGGCAACTTTTTTTTGAAGTGTATTTTTTAAGGAAGTAGCCACGATATGCAAGGATAAAGTGTGGCTGTCATAAAAAAAGATTTTTGATGCAACTCTAGTCATGCAAAATTCTATATGTATCAATCTCAAACTGTTATAGAAAAAATCTTAACGCAGTCGCTGCGTAAGATGAATTATAGTAATATAGAATAAACTTATATAGAAAAATACATACAGATAGTCAGTATGATTTAGATTGCAAAGATCAGAAAATACCACAGAGCTTGCAGCCCTTTGATTTTAAAAGGTATGACATCTCTCTAGCAGACGACACGTTAAATTGGAAACAATATGGCATTTTTTCATAGCTTATTGTAATAGTTTTTATTTGTTTGGGTCGTCAGACCAAACAAATAATGGTAGCGAAATTTCAGAGTATGATGCTGTTAATTGCAAATGCCGAAAGTAGGCCGCTTTTTTGAAGCGGTTACTTCCCTTTATATGTACACTAACGCCGAAAAAATTCAGTGGAGATCACTGCGTAAAGCAAACTCCTCACAGTGATTACCTCCCTTGGCAGAATTGTAACGCCGAAGAATTAAGGGGAGATCACTGTGTGGAGATTGTGCGTAAAGATGGTCAAATGACAGGCGCATTAATTTTCAAGCAAAATAATTCCCGAATGGTCGAGATTTCTAATATTGTTTTATCCTTTATAGATATACATGCTTATAATAAGCTCCATGATTATTAACATCTGTGTTAAACAACAGTTAGCGTCGAAATAATAAGGGTTAAAAACCCTAATTTAGAATAATATGGTTTTTTTTCAGGCCTTCTACATATAACTTCACCGTGGCCGAGGGGTCTGGAGTTCAAATCCAGGAAGGCAACTCTTTTTTTCAAATTGTTTAAGTCAAATAAACATTGAATTGAATATCAGTGTTGCAATTAGTCTTAAAGCCAATTAACTACAATTAAAACGCTGGAAAGCACTGGTGGCACTATACAAAAACAAATTGGTTTATAATCTCACAACCTTCACCTTTCTCACATTCTGAGACCCAAACAAATTCAGCGCCTTCTGTGCTTAATTTGATTTTACAAGTGAAAAAAATATACCGGGTATAAAAAATCTTTGAACCCTACTGTATCTTTCATACTGATTATTAGTATAATAACATTATTATATCTACGTTCATTTCTATATTAACAACATTTCTGTATTGAAAGACCCCGTTTTACAGTATGCATGTAATATAAACACGAATTATTATAATTATGCGTTTACATACTAAGTTACCTCCCTTATATGTAAAGTTGCCATTTGTAGCATCATTTCTGCACTGGAAAACACAATGGAACCGGTGGCAATTAAAGTAGAAATAGACGACTTTGAGGAAGAAAAGGAACCGCCGAACTACAGTACCTGTAAGTCGTGTTAATAAAATTTGTGCTGACGTAAAATCCTGTCCGAAATTCATGAATACGACTAAGAAGTTGTTATTTTTGAAAAGGAAGTATTTTATGTTTAGAAATAGAATATAATAATACACTGTTATAAACCTGATACGAACTACAGTTACTTTGACGGTAATCATGACGCTTTTCATTCAATACATCATTGAATGTCCATTCTACTGTACTCCTTTAATCAAATGGATCTTTTACTGGTATTCAATATATAGGCCTAGCCCAACAACTTGTGCGCTTTAGGGCTTTTCATTATATAGATGCTGGTTGTCCTTCGCTGTAAAGACAGACATCTATGAAAATGAGATTATAAAATCAGTCGGTCTTGCAGTCGAAATGTTGAGACTATATATTATAGGCCTATGCTGTTGCATAGTCCAAAATGTATACGTAGACTCTGTAGATACCGTAAACTCTGTAGATATAGGTAGCTTTAATTTTGCCAAGTTGCCTTGCCAAGAATTAAGGATGTCACATAGCATAGTCTGATAGGTTATGATACGGATATCAACTGCAACAAAATAAATTTTCATTACCAAAATCAACTCATAAAATTACAACTAGATCTAAACAGTTTTTCGATATGATTTTTTTTTAGAATATTTAATTACATTAATATTTGTTGTCTTGAACTCACATGAAAAAAAATATTGATATTGATAGTGTTAAAGTTCAAAATATTTTTCATAATAACCTAAATGTATATTATGACTTCTTTAAATAACTCCCATTGTCATTTAAAGTACCTAATTAATATTCTGTTAAATTCAATGGCCTATAGCACACACAAAATTTTTAATTGCTTATATTGAGCTTATAGCACTTCTTTTCTGTATACCATATTGACTGATTACAGTTGAATTTATTTCATTTTATGTGATGAAACAGCAAGTACACTAAAGGCACTTATTGCAAAGAAAGTTAAAGATAATGAAAGACAGCTACGTGCAGAGAATAAGAGCAATAATCCAGAAAATGAAATCCAACAAACAGATGAAAAGAAACCTGAAATAAAGAAACGTAGAGGAGGGCGTCCTAAAAAGTCAGAATCTGAAAAGAAACAGAAGCAAACAGAAAGAGCTCGTCGTTTTAGAGCTAAAAATGTGAATATAGGAGATCAAGTTGAAAGATGGGCATTTGTAAAGTGTATGACAAACACTGAAAGTAATAGTGATATGGCAAAGATACTTATAGATTTGTAAGTGTTCTGATTATTTTTCTATTAATAGAATTTTTGTAATCTTGTAATAGTATCTTTGGTAATATTTAAAGCAAAAAGCAAAACCATAATATGTATACCAGTGACAAAGATTAATATTGAAAACAATATAAATTATGTAAATCATAAGATGAACATGCTTTTAAAGTTGAAAAGCCATAATAATTATGATTTTGGCTCTTGGAATGACCCAAAATTTTTATGCTGATGTTCATAAGTAGAAAAATTAATCATGTGATAAATTACTATACTTAAACACTACAAATTAGTCTTTTGTTTACAAAAGAAAAGCGTACCTACCAGTTCTAGGTGTTAGAGAGGAAATCATGAATAAATACACTATTTTTAGTGTTGAATTACATTAAATTTCACAGTTTAGTATCTTTGTTACTTGTTAAACAGTGAAGTTGAAAATCATTTTGATATTATTATAATCATTGTTTATTATTCATGTTTTCTTATAAAACAATTTTGAATTATTTAAATTTGTGAAGATCTCAAAATATTTTTATTGCAGGAAAAATGACCATAATCTTACTAAATAAAAAACATAGAATAGTGGATTTGCTATGCTTTGAATTGTTATTTTTAGTTGTTTTGATATCAAAGAGCTGGACTTGAGCAGTTTACTGAAGAAGGTCGAGTCAGACTACCCAATTGTACAAACTGGCCCTGACTATACATAATTATCTAAATCATAATTGCTGTTTCGCATTCTAAATATGGAAGTTATGCATGTGTGTATGGTTTTAAATGCTTTGTTTTTTAAGACTTTAGAATACAAATTCAAATTGTAATTATCATGTTTGAAATCATGACATTTTTTTTTTCTTAAGCTATGTACAGCACCACCCTGGTCTAGCCATGATTCCTGGAAATCCATTGAGTAATACAGACCAGGCAGGTCCAAATATATCTGACTCGACAGATTCTGATAATAGGTATGTTGTTTTTGCAAAACTCTAATTCAACACCATTTATGAACTAGAAAATTTATATTGTAGATTTATAATTGTAATACAAATTCATGAACTGATTCTTCAGGCGTTTAATACTGGTATGACTGTACCTTATTTTTCCATATGAAACCTTGAATAGAAATGTACAGCTACATTTAGGAGAAAATTTTTTGTCAAAAAATATTACTGAGAATGTAAAACTATGAATGTGTAAATGACACACCAAAAAAAGCATATTTATTTCCAGGGATTGTAAATTGTAATATTCAATGTAATAAAAAACATAAAGGCTTGATAAATATTTGGAGTTAAGCCTAATAGTTATGTAAGTAATTTGAATAACAGTTTAAGTGTGTAAATGACATAACAAGGTATTTATTATCCCCCGCCGAAAAATTTCGGCGGAGGATATGTCTCCGACCTTCCGTCCGTCCTTCCGACATTTTTGTCCGGAGCATATCTCTAAAAGTATTTGAGTTATCAACTTGAAACTTCATAGGTGGATAGACCTCATTGAGGAGGAGTGCAGTGCACAAAAATGATAACTCTACCTTGCATGATTTTTGAGTTTTTGCCCTTTCTTATTTTTCAAAATTGATTTTTGTCCAGAGCATAACCACAAAAGCCTATGAGATATTAACATGAAACTTCATAGGTGCATAGATCTCACTCAGGAGGTGTGCAGTGCACAAGAATGATAACTCTACCTTTCATAATTTTTGAGTTATTGCCCTTTGTTATTTTTCATACCTAATTTTTCACCTGAGTGGAGCATACTGGTCAGGGACCATCAACCGGACAGTTTTTGATTATTTTTCTATACAAATTTCATAATTTTAAAGCTAGAGGTACGAAAATTTGACACAGTACAGCTAGGTTCTTCTCCTAACTAACAAACTAGTTTGTTTAGTTCTGATTATGTTGACACTTATATCCGAGGCCCGTCAAGGAAGGTATCAAAATTACCTAAATCGTACATATTACAGTACCATGTGTCCGGACAGATATGTAATAACGTTGATTTAATTCAGATAAAAGCTTTGGTGTTCTTTTTTTTATTTTTAACATTACACACAATATTTCAGCAGCAAATGCTGAAGTTTTGGATATTTTATTGTTTACTCTGCAAATAATTATTGCTGTTATATGAGGTCAGGCATTGCTTTCTTGACCCCCAAATTTCAACGTCAACATTCTTGAAATAGACATTAAAATATTACCATTTACGGAGGTTGAAATAAATTTATTTACTTAATTTTAGAAGAAACATGCATTTATTGTTGATAAAAAAGTGACTGACAACCACTGAACAAAGAAAATTCTAAATCAAGCATTTTTGGGGCCGTCCGGGTTTGGTGGTTGTCCGGTTTTGGTGGTCCCTCCCCAACCAGTAACTCAAAAAGTGTTTGAGATATCAACATGAAATGTCATAGGTGGATAGATCTTATTGAGGAGGAATGTTGTGCGCAAGAATGATAACTCTTCCCTATACAATTTTTGAGTTATTGCCCTTTGTTTTTTTTTCATGCTATTTTGTCCAGAGCTTATCTAAAAAAGTATTTGAGGTATCAACTTGAAACTTCAAAGGTGGATGGATCTCATTGAGGAGGAGTGCAGTGCTTAAGAATGATAACTCTACCCTGCATTATTTTTGAGTTATTGCCCTTTGTTATTTTTCTAAATTAATTTTTGTCCAGAGCATAACTCAAAAAGCCTTTGAGATATCAAAATGAAACTTAATAGGTGCATAGATCTCACTCAGGAGGTGTGCACTGCACAAGAATGATAACTCTACCTTTTATAATTGTTGTGTTATTGCCCTTTGTTCTTTTTCATACTTAATTTTTCAATTCAATTTTTTTCTCAAAAAGTATTTGAGGTATCAACTTGAAACTTCATAGGTGGATAGATTTTACTGAGGAGGAATGCAGCACACAAGAATGATAACCAACCCTGCATTATTTTTCAGTAATTGCCCTTTGTTATTTTCAGCCATCAGTATTCACATAGGTTTCAAATCTGTAATCACTATAGCCATCAGTTTTCATTACCAAAAGACCTCTTAAAATGGAATTATTCCGCTCTACTACATATACATTCTTCCAATGAGCAAACACATTCGGCGGGGGATGGCCATGTTGACATGGCTCTTGTCTCATCTAAATTCTAAATAAAATTAAGATTCTTATAACTAATTTTACCATTCTTTAATTGGAAAATGAAAATCTTGTGGCATCTCGCTTCTCGCACAAAAACTGTATAAGCAGCTACCAGATAAATATAAACATAGAAAAAAACCTGCAGTGATGGATGAAATCAAGCATGTGTGCATCATTGTTGCACAACTTTAATAGGCATGAATCAGGGCACAATGTAAAAAAAGCTGACTGCAATGACTAACCTGTGGATTTGCCCTTTAAATATTTCTTCGTGCTCGGCAGATGTAAATACACGAATAAAGGTGCATTTATTCTCTATAATAAATAAATTTAGTAAATTTTTAAATTTTTTAAAATTAATTTATCTGTTGACCACAAAGATTACAAATTGTACCTATGATCTTTTGATATATAATGAAGAGATTTGTTATTTCAGGGAACTTGGACTTGATTGCCATAGAATCAAAGTTGAAGTATCTGAAGGAGAAATAGCAAATGATACTGTATTTGATCAGGAGAAAAGTTTATCAAGGTTACCTGATATAAAAGTTGAACCTGACTCTGATATAATTAAAGTAGAAGTAGAGGACAGTGACTATAACAATGCTTTATCTTTTACACCTAACTCTACAGCTGTAAGTAACTGTAACCATAGCAATCCAGAAAAATGTGATGAATCACAGGAAAAAATACAGATAGTACAAAAAAGGCAAGGAAAAAACTTGCAACAAAAGGAAAGAACTGGTAATTTAAAGCGTAAAGGTTTATCAGATGCAATATCTTATCTTAAGGTAAAGAGGATGGGGGATATACAGTGAATAAAAAAGGATAGTGTGAATTCCATTGTTGTCAAAACTTCCTTTAATGTTGTAAATTTGTTTGTTTGTTTGTTTGATTGGGTTTTACATGTACGTCACACCGACACAGTATACATGTAGGTCATATGGCTACGTTCCAGCTTTACTGGAGGAGGAAGACCTCAGGTACCCTTCCGTGCATTATTTCTGGCACGAACAGGCACCTGAGTAGAACCACCGACATTCCATAAGCTAGCTGGATAGCTTCCTCACATGAAAGAATCCAAAGTCCCTGTCTGGATTCGAACCCACAGCGGTGAGGAGCAAGTGGTTTGAAGTCGACGACCTTAACCACTTGGCCACATCGACTGTAATATTGTACAAAATTACACATAGTCAAACTCACCTGTTAATACATTTGTATGAATTTCATATGCATCAAACAGTACTTATACATATAAGTCAGTATGTATTTATTTACCATTTAAAAATTTATTTCCTATGCAGTTAAGTATGAATTTTTTAGAGAATTTGAAACTAAGGAATAACTCCTTTTTATATTAAATTTGACTGTTTAGGGTCAGGTGCTCATTTTAGATATTGTGCCGATAGGCATCAATCTGTTTAATTATTGACATCCAATTTAAATTTTCTCCAAACAGCCTTTTCTGCTGAATCACATAGTCAGTATCATCCAAACTTCACAAAAATGATTCTTAAGTTATTCTTTTTCACATGTTTTTAGTCCATATAGAAAAACTTAATTGGCATACTCACAGGCACCATGCGGTGTGCATAATAGTATATACATTTTAATGTAAAAAATCTTAAGTTTAGAAATTGTCAGTCTGATTTTGGTGAGATTATGCCCTCTGAAAAGAATGTGAAAACTGTCATGTTGGATAAGTGCTAGTATTAAAGCTACATTTTATAAATATGTAAAAATAATTTTGCTGTCAGTCTAAAACCAAGCATTCTACTGTTTCATAAACCTTTCCAACAGTATTGTGAATCTAATCAAATAATGTTTAGATATTATTATTTATGAAATAAAAACAGGAGTTGATATGAAATCCATTTTTATTAATGAAATGTAGCATCATATCAAGATTGTTCAACTTGTCATAAAAAATGTTTGTAACATTCACATTATAAAATATTATTGTCCTGATATGGTGTCTTGCTTATTACATAAAATTTTTGTACCTATTTCTATTGCTGTTGATTTCTTTGTCTGTCAATGTACAGCTGGTAACATCTTTTTATACTGTTAGAAATATGATGTGTTTTTAGCTCACCTGTCACAAAGTGACGATGAGCTTTTGTGATCGCTTTTGGTCCAGCGTCCGTCCGTCCATAAACTTTTACTTTAAATGACATCTCCTCATAAACCACTAAGCCAATTTCATCCAAACTTCACAGGAATGTTCCTTTGGTGGTCACCTTTGAAAATTGTTCAAAGAATTTAATTCCATGCAGAACTCTGGTTGCCATGGCAACCAAAAGAAAAAAACTTTAAATATCTTCTTCTAAAAAACCTTAAAGAGCTAGAGCTTAGATATTTGGCATGAAACATCTTCTAGTGAGTGTCTACCAAGTTTGTTCAAATAAAAGCCATGGGGTCAAAATTGGCCCCGCCCCAGGGGGTCATTGATTTTCCCTATATGCATATAATAAAAACTTAAAAAATCTTCTTTTAAAAAACCCAAAGAGCTAGAGCTAAGATATTTAGCATGAAACATCTTCTAATGGATGTCTACCATGTTTGTTCAAATAAAAGCCCTAGGGTCAAATTTGGCCCCGCCCCAGGGGGTCATTGATTTTCCCTATATGCATATAGTAAAAACTAAAAAAATCTTCTTTTAAAGAACCCAAAGAGCTAGAGCTAAGATATTTAGCATGAAACATGTTCTAATGGATGTCTACCAAGTTTGTTCAAATAAGAGCCCTAGGGTCAAAATTGGCCCCGCCCCGGGGGTCATTGATTTTCCTTATATGTGTATAGCAAAAACTTAAAAAATCTTCTTTGAAAAAAAAACAAAATAGCTAGAGTTTAGATACTAAGCATGAAACATCTTCTAGTGAGTGTCTACCAAGTTTGTTCAAATAAAAGCCCTGGGGTCAAAATTGGCCCTGCCCCAGGGCTCATTCATTTTCCTTATATGTGTATAACAAAAACTTAAAAAATCTTCTTTGAAAAAACTCAAATAGCTAGAGTTAAGATATTAAGCACGAAGCATTTTCTAGTGAGTGTCTACAAAGTTTGTTCAAATAAAAGCTCTGGGGTTTAAACTGGCCTCTTCGGGGGCCTATATACAGGTGAGCGACTTCAGGGCCATCATGGCCCTCTTTTTATACATCTGTTATAGATAGTAGTACTAAAATTATATGCACATATGACTTTGTGTTTGTTATAGAAAGTAGTAGTTAAATAATATGCACCCTATGTCTGTTTGTTTTTACTCAGCTACAGTGTAGTAATAAGTTTTCTGAAATAAAATATACAAAAAACTGCTAAATTTGTTTGTTTGTGTTTTGTGTGTTAACTGTAATGTGTTAGATATCCATTGTATAATAAAATTAAATGGAAGCATTGATTGAAGACTTTGTGAAAAACATTCTACTGTATTTACATCACAAGGCCAGAGTTAATGCTACCTGATTGCTAGGAAATGCAAAATGTATGCTGTATTTCAGAGTTATAATTATAACAGAAATGACCAAACAATAATCATCTAGGTATCGTAAACACTTGAAGTATATGTTGAGTGGTCATTATGCCTGTAGATAAACTTGATGTTAGATGAATGGAGAAAAATGGAATAATACATACAATCAAAGAGCTAAAAGCACTTTATATGACAGACAGAAATGCTTTTTTGTCCGGTTTTACATCACACCAACACTGTAAATGTCATAATGGTGACTTTCCCGCTTTACTGTTGGAGGAAGACCTTGAGTGCCCCTCCATGCATTATTTCAGCCATGAATGAACCACCGATGAGCCAGACAGCTTCCTCACTTGAAAAAATCCATGAAAGGTGGTGGTGAAATTTGTACACACAGCAAATATCAATCTGACTTATGTTCAGATCTACTCTTACTTGGATATCTGATAACCACCATAAATAGTTTGCCTTCATTATAATTAGGATTTCCCAAGAAAGTTTTTTAAGCCATGCAATCAAACTGGTTTAGGCATCAGACGAAGTATCAAAATTTCATTTTCCGTGGAAGTGAAACAAATTGTTGATTTTTGTTAGAAAAAATGTTTGAAGTAATTTGAAACAAGTAAACTGGAAATATTAGACTCAATTTTTTAATGGGCAAGATTGTATTGCCAGTTTATCTATCGGCTATATGGACAATGCCATGTTTGTTCTCGAAATCATGAAAATTACCTACTCAGTATTGGTTTTCCAGCTATTAAAATTAGAAACAACATCACTTTCAAAATTGTGAAAGCTCGCCGATGATTGGTTGTTTGAAAAATCATGAGAAGGTGACAACCTATTGCTGATCATCAGATCTGAAAACGTAGCGTTATTTAGGAGCTGATTTTAATCATATTGAGTAAATATATGCATCATGTCTAGGTATCATGTATTCTAGGCTCCATCTGCCCTTTTAGGCACTGAGAGTTCAGACCCTGGACATGTCACCATTCATATCCTTAAAGGTTATTATTTACCAAAATAATCTATAAAGATAGATCAAATTTAGATTCTATTATTCCTTTTATTATTATACATTACGTACAATGGCATTTTCTGCCAAAAATTAAACACAAGGCATTGCACTGTGTTTAGGAGGAAACATTGGCTATATCAGTTGTTAATAGTCATTTAGGACAGTACCTGTAATTCCTCTACTTTGCATAGAAATAACAATGGATCCAATTGCTAGCTGGCAATATTTTGCCTGCATGTCACCTGAATAAGATGACAATATGCATTCGATATGACTTTTAATATATTGTATCAATTATCATACTCCTTTTTCATCTTGTTAACTTTGGTATGTGGGCAAAAAATAGCATTTTAGCAGTATATTTGCATCCTAAACTTACTGTATAGTATACATATGTTTTGTTTTGATAAATTCAGCTGTTTTTATTAATTCAGCTCTTAACATTAAAATGGAATTTATTAAATGATTTAATTTAATTCACCTCAAATCACCTGGAAGATTGCTCATGTATAGGACTACACTTCAGTGCATGTTATTGGAAAATATCAATGACACGTTTTGTAAAACAACTACATGTGTATATGTAAAATAAATCTTGCAAAATGCACTTGCGAAATTGCAATCTGTATGTTTACGAAAAACTGTAAGGATAACTTATTTCAGAAATAATTTCAGAAATGAAATAATGCAAGGTTTGAAGAAAAATGCTTAGTGGTGTTCAACTTTATGGACCGCAGAATTTATTTTTAGCCAGAGAAGAGAAAAATATAATATGAAAAAATATATTATAAAAGTTACTTCCCTTTTTCATAAATTTGCCATTTGTACAGATTGTAAGTCAAGCTTTACCCCTTTTCAGATACGATTATGGACCTACATCAAGTGAAACACGGAGTAAATGAAAATACTGAGCCTAAAAATAACAAACAAGGTGATGTAAATGCATGCTGTGATTTTGGTAAATATGAAAAACCTAAAATATAATATTGCTTCGTATGTTATCAGGTCTAAGATTTCATGATATTTATGGACATGTCCCAGGGTGAGAAAAATGTGCAGTCTGACCGGGACCCGAACCTTGGACCCTTGGAATACCGTTCCGTGGCTCTACCGACTGAGCTTACACATCTTCTCCCCTAAATAGTGAACAGTTCTGAACCGTGATATCCTACCCAGCTTTATTGAAATTCGTCCTCGAATTTCTAATGGGTACAGAAAACAATGTGAAATTGGACTCGGAGCCTATACCATCACATAAAAATTATTTTTATATCATCACATAAAAAATACTTTTTATCATTAAAATATGTTACGATTGTCTCCTGAGATAACGTTGAGAAGAATTAAAAGTAAAACCTATATAAAATAACCCATTAAGGGCCTGAATATTCGGGCATGCGCAGGATTATTCCCCCGCATGACCAGGTCATGAAATAACTAGTAAACAAAAGGTTATGTTAGTAGATAAAGAACTGAATCAACAATATTTACCTGAGAGTGGTTTTGTTGTTATTTACTTTGAAATAGAAAGTATGTGTATGTCAGATTCAGACCGAATGACTTTTAATCGAAGTAAAAAATTAAGGAATAGATTTTGTCCGGTAAACTGATTGTCCGGTAAATATAAAGGATCCCAGTAGATTTATTAATTTGCATATAGACTTAATATTTTGCATAATAAAACACAAACATTTCTATGATAATGTATCTTAAACACATAATTAAGAGTGGCACAAATGATTTTTGGTGATTTATAGAATAAAATCATAATAAAGTGTCCAGCCTTCAGCAACATACATGTATATTAACAGATTATAATACAAGAATTTAAGAAAGTACCTTGTTCATCAAGAGGATGGGCGTCAGTATTCACAGATAGAAAAATCTTTGTTGTTTCTTTTGAAGATATGATGTTTTCTTTGTAAACATAATGTCTAAATTTAATATTTTCCTGTGTTTAGGGCAAAAATCACATTCTAAAAATGTTATATAAAGTTCATCTTTGCCAGTTTAGGCCTAAGTCCCACGATGATACAAGAACAGGATATATATACAATGTATAAAGTAGGCTTTATCTGTATTTGTAGTATATTACTTTAAAATACAGACATTGATAAACATAGGGGTATATATTCCAGGAGATTGCAAAAAATAGCTGCAGATTTATATATTATCAAGTGTTATTTTACTGAGTTGTAAGGGTGTATTGTAAGGTTGTAGTCAAGCTTAAATGTTTTGCAATCCAAGCTTAACGTGTTAAAACCCCAGTTGCACTGACATTTTGTTTTTATTTCTATAAAAAAATGGACAAAAATGTAAAATATCAATTACCGGGTATACTGTGTTATCTTTAATAGTTTACAGTTCTTGATGCTTTGATACAAGAAAGAAAACAGTCACCGCTTAACCCTGGGTGATTGTAAGAGGCGACTAAATTGATTCTAATTAGTGAAGTCTGTGCATCTCTTAGCTCCGACAGGTGAGGTGGTTTTGACCCCTGTGTTGCTTTAAGTTTGTAACACCCGAGGTTAACCAAAATCAGCTTTCTTGTTTCAGCCACATGACTGCCGCAGTCACATATGACTACCGAAATTGTGTTGGTGCACCATAAAACCAAACAATGAACTAACACTGCAACTTTTAAGTATTTTCCTCTGCATGACACAAGGAAACAACATTCAATTAAAAGAAAAATACAATGGGCTCATCATAAAAATGCATTGAGGAAAACAAATTTTTTCATTTGCAGGAGATGAAACATTTTCTCAAAATAACAACTTACATTTAATACAATCACTGCCGAGTACAGAATACGTGAAACTTGAAATAGAAGAGATAATTGAAGAAGAAGAAAAGGTAGAAGAAGAAATTGATGATGATGATGATGATGATAATAATGATGATGATGATGATGGTAAAGTAGAAGGAAAAGAGAAAAAAGAAGATGGAGATAATGCAGTTCAAATCACTCCTGAACAGAGACCCAAAAGAAAAAAGCCTATTGTAAGCAGAGAGAAAAACCAGAAACAGAAGCAGACTAGACGTAACTTGACATTTACAAAGCTTGCATGGGATAGATGGAATGATTTAAAGAAAAGTCTAAGTGTGAAAACCCATAGTGACCTGGCTTTACTGCTTATTGATTGCTGGTAAGTTTTCGGTTTGCTAATATTTGAAATAATCATCTCTCTTTTACATTTGGTAGTATTAACTTAATAATTAACCCAAAGCCTGCTTATGGCAACTGAATTTACAGACTCATGCAGTATTATCATGGTCTGCACTGTTTGCTGCTCAGTCAGTTTATATATTGAAAATTTCCCAAAAAATTCAACATATATGTACAGAAACTTTATTATAGTAATTTTTGTTTAGTGTGAAAACAAAAGTGCTTCGTCCATTGTTTGAAAATGTTTCATTTGTTTTTAGTCTTTAAATAAAGACTGACAGACCTTTAAAGGACCTTTAAAGTATATCAATTTCAATTAAGGACCTTTAAAAGTATATCAATTTCAATTAAGAAAATTGTTAAAATTTAGTTAAATGGCAGAATTTCAATTTGATGGTCTTTTTCTGTGAAAATATCTGTTTCTTAACAAATGTACAGTCATGTAAGCGTATAATCACTGATGCTAATAAAAGAACAAAGTTTGAATTTTTTGTATCAGCAAGTATGTATGATTCAACGATCTTTCAAACATCATTAATGTTCATCTTATGAAACACTTTATAGATGTAGGTAAATAAGGGTGCATTGAATGTACTGGTACTAACTTGCATTTATTTATGTCCATGATGAAAGTACTTTAAACATCTGAACTTTACAAGATACCTACTGCCTTTAGTTCATGGTATGATTTTTGCGACGGACGCGCCCTCAGGCGCGTTCAGAGCTAAGTCATCTACACATGGGATTTCGTCGGCTACAATCGCGCAAGGTGTCCTCAACCGATTAACAGCCTAAGAAATAGTACATGAATTTGATCCTTTAAAACTCCCATACTTTGTCGGGATATCTTAATATCTTCCATATTTAGCCTTTTCAATTTCAAATAAAGTTATCCAAGTTAAAATATGAACGTATATGATTGATAAAAACTTTGTAGTCCCATAGTATTATTGCGCAATATGCAAATTACTGCCGAAACGATTTACCGCTGTCGAAAAAGTAGGACAGCAAATTATACTATAATAAAGCTGTAAGCTCTGAGTTCCAAGAAATTATTAGTAAGAAATAAATATTTCTACATTATACAAAACATTATTATTAAGTAATCAAAAGTTTTTCGTGACTCTAGAATAACTCGCGCATTAATAAAAGAAGAACTATTTTCGTGACTCATACCGCGGGTTTAGCTGAATATTCAGCAGTTATTAATAAATTAGATACAGTACAATGGTTAGTATAAATATCTATTTTTGAAAATGCATGTATCAAGAGAGCTTTTCAACACTTTACCACCATGTTACTAGTATTTCATGGTTATCTTTATTGAAGGAAGTTATAATATCAGTTCTACTTCCGATTCTTGTGGTTTGTTTACAAATAAATTTCTAGGTCACAATATAAGTTAACCTTCGCTATTCTAAAAATAGATTCTGCTTCACTTATGCTGGCGATAAGTACACATTATACATGTAATAAACCAGCAGATTACATGCAATACAAATGACTTATATTTTATTGTCTATATGCCCACTATGATAACACGAAGCACGGATTTATATTACATGTAATATGTAATATAAATCCGTGCACGAAGCAATTCTAAATAGCATTCTCACATGTATAATGTATTATGCTTGAAGTTTATTTGCATGGTTTTATTTTAGAAATATTTCGTTGTCAGTTTTTTCTTCTATTTACATATCATTTCAAAATCGATAAGGGCACTGATTTACAAGTTTGACCAGAGTTTTTAGGCATAAATTTCATTCTGTATTTAATGCTTGAAAGTAGAAAATCTGAATTATAACAGTTTGGGACACAAAATATATTGCTCTACAAATCTCGAACTTGTATGGAACAAATTTTCTCTGTTACTTTGTGTTTTGTTTTTTTTTTCTAAAAAAAGCCTGAATGTCTCTCCGGTTGAATGTCCGTCGCATTCAGTGCTGCAGCACTTTGATTACTGAAATTTTACCCTGTTCAAAGTTTTGCATGTAAGATACATGTATATCTCTATTCAACACACAAAAACTGAACGTCTTGAATTGAAAGTCAATACATTTCATCAATTTTATAATTATAGATCATAGACCATAGTACTGTTACCTGAGTATGGATAGTTTTATTGAATTACATGTATTCCTCTTGGTAGCATAGAAAATTCTTTCATGACCTTTGTTTTACAACCTAGTCCTGAGAATAGTCAAGAGCATACATAATTATCTAATTTTATTAAATACAAGAGCTTTTATTAAGTACACATTTGTATGTATGTATGAATTTATGCTTATTGTTCAAATAGTAAAAAAAATAAGTAGTCAACAGCAAATTTTTAAAATTCCCTTTAATATACATGTACCAATGTTTTGGCTTATTGTTTAAGAATAATTAGTTTGGAAATAGTGATTACAACTAAGATTAATCACTTTCGCATCCACTTTCTGGAACTAACCAGTATGATTGTCATATGTGGAAACATGGGTATGACTTTAGTAGGGCTCAAACCCATGATTCCTGGGTTGAAAGGCAGACACCTAAACTTCACGGACATCTCTCCCTTCCAGACGAAATGGATTAGTTGTGTGGTTTACTATTTGTTTTTTTTGTTTTGCTATTGTTAGATTGTAAGTTCATGTCTTGCAGTGCTACAATAAACCAAAATTATTCAGTTACCACTTGCTTAGCTTAGTTGTGTGAATAAATTATTTGTTTTTGCCAAGTATTTATAATCATAAAGTAAATTAAACCTAATCCCTTTGCAGGTTTGAAAGACATGGTAATTCTGGACTTGAACAAAACACACATGTTGATGATGGTGATGGTGATGAATCTGTGTGAGTATACTGGTATTTTAACTTAATATGTAATAAGAAACAGCTGAAAATTTAATTTTATTTATATTGAAATCTGTCTTCGCATTTGGCCATAGCTTTGTACTTTAACCAATACAGTCGAGACTGTCATATGTGACTTTCCAAGGGATCTTCAGAAAAAGGTCGCATATGACAGGGAGTCTCTAAATACAGTCTCAATATCATCTATCTGTCTATATACCAATGTGACTTAAAGAACCTGTATGTTTTGTGATTGATATTGTTACTGTGTTCACGTATCTTGCAAAAAAATATATATGGATATAATTATGCAAATAAAACCATTTTCAAACATCAAAGAATATGTAAAATGTTTATTGCAAATATTTGTGCACATTATATTTAATCAATAAATTACATGCATTGATTTCTTATTGGAACATTTGACTTAGAATTTATAGAAAATAAAGTTCTAATTACCTCCCTTGTACTTTAACCAATACAAGTATTTGTCAATAAGTAATATATACATATATTTTTAAACAGGAAATTTAAGACTGAAGAAGTCAAGGTGGAAATAAATGACGAAGCGTCCAATGATTCTACAGATATAGACTATGATGAACTTACTGACTTTATCAAGGCTAGGGGTAAACAAGATAATAATACTGGCACTGAAAACACTGAACAAATTGAGCCAGAGTACCTTGTAGCTGGGTTAATCTCAGATTACAATAAAGGCAATCTGCACTCAAATAAATCTGGTACAAAGACGAAAATGAAGAAACCTAAAGCATCTTATGACCCTGATTATGATGTAAATGACATTAATGATGACGATGATGAGGAACCAGTACCTCAAAGAAAAAAGAGGAAATCTACTCAGAAAAGTAAAAAGGAGAGTAAAGAAAAGAAGTCAAAAGTAACACCTAAGAATGGTAAAAAGAAAAAGGCTAAAAGCCCTGAACCTAAAAAACCATGGATAAAAATACAGCTTTCAGAACACGAGGATAAATATCTTGTAGAAAGTTTGAAATCTTTTGCACGTATGAACAGGAGTAACGATGCTGTCGAGACTTTATTTTCATGCTTAGTTTGTAATCATTTTAAATGTGCGTCAAAAGATATATTTGAAAATCATATAGAGAAGCATATAAACAAGGTGTTGGATTGTGAGGGATGTCAGTATATAGGGAATAGTGAACAGGATATTCGTGAACACAAGTGGACATGTTGTAAAAGACCAAAGAGGGAGAGCGTATGCCCGCTGTGCGGTCATTGGACGGCTTCTTCTGAGAGTCGAAGGCATCATCTCGGAAAAGTTCATGGTATACCTAGTTGGAAGTGTATTTTCTGTCCTGACATGTTCAAAACAAGGGATGAAAGAAAAGATCATATGAGAACTGTCCATGAGGAGGCCTGCCAGTACTGTGAATCTTGTAAATTGTGTATGTTATTATTAGCTTTCTTATCCTTTACCATGCTGCCTTTGTATAATAGACATGTTTTACATTGAGTTTTGAACTTCTGTTATAAACATGAATGGTTTTGATATCAAAATGTAATTATTAAGTAGCAGGCAATATTGAAGTCCGGTCAGATTGCCTAGGCTTCATACTGGTTGCCAAACTAGGTCATATGCTCTGCTAGCATCACTTGCCCCTCACCACTGTAGGTTCGAATCATGTCCAGTGCTTGGGGTTCATTCATGCAAGGAAGTTATCCAGTTAGCTTACAGAAGGTTGGTGGTTCTACTCAGGTGCCTGCTGGTGCCTGAAATAATGCATAAAGAGGCATGTGAGATCCTTCCCCACCAGTAATTCTGGAAAGTCTTCATATGTTCTTTACTGTGTCAGTTTGAGTTGGAATCCAAACAAAGCAAAACATCTCTGCTAGCATTCATAGAGTTAATTTTAGGTTCATGAGATGTACAAGTGTATAATGAGGCAATGCTTTCATGACAATTTGGGTACGAGTTTCACCTGTTTTGCGTCAGATGTTTTAATTAATCTAAGATAAATTCATAAAAGATCAGTGAACATTTTGCCAATTTATGAATATCATATAATATCTTGAACTAAAGTTTAGAATTAATTTTGTAAAGTTGAGGCTTTTTTGCCATTATCTCTTAATCAGATATAATAATTGACCACTATATCAATTTTAATTCAAAATTTATGGTACAAAACATCAGAAAATAGTTCATATATTACAATGCACTGAAAACAAATACAAAATTGCTTATTCAAATTCACTAAACTCTATTGTAACAGGTTATATTAAAGAAAGGACAAACTAAACATGTATTAAACTTTTTAAAAGTTATGAATGATTCAAGAAATGATTTATTCTGCTTCAACAGGCAAGTACCTTCTTAGCAAAGAAGAGTTCAAGGCCCATCTAGAAAATTGTAGTTCAAGCGTACAGTGTCAGATTTGTGGATTGTTGGTAAAAACAAAGAGCATGAATAAGCATATTCAGAGTAAGCATGAAAACATTCGAAAACATCAGTGTCACAGGTGCCCGTATGCTGCAAAAACTTTAAGGAGGTTGAAAACCCATCTTCTATCTCACGACAGTAAGTTTTGTTAATTTAAGATTTAATTCAAAGGTGTACAGCAAATTAAATGACAAATTTCAGTAAAAAAAATTAACAATGAGCAGCAAATTTAAATTTTGGTCATACTGCAATGATAAGCAGGCTTTATATTGGTGACAGAGGGCAGTCATTGTTGATTACATTTAAAGAATTTATCAGATATTACCTTCAGCCTGCTGTCAATTCTACCCATGTGATCACTGCAGACCAATATCACCCAGCACATTCATGCAGTCTAACAATAACCATGGTCTGCACTATTCAGCATAGTTTATAGTAGCGTATAAATATAAACTCATTTGACATCAATGGTATACTTGATGCCATAAATTGTAAAGGGGAAAACAAAATATTTTCAAAAATAGGAAACTTTATAGCAATTTTGAATTGTAAATAGAGGATATTGAATGAGTGTCGGTTTAATACTAAATAAATTGAACGAGTTGAATAAAATCATATTATGCAAGCCTCTGGCGAGCATAATGATTGTTTTATTCAACTCGTTCAATAAATTTAGTATTGAATCTACACGACTATTATATTCTATTTATCACATATTCAAAAAGAATTTTATTGACGAGCCTACAGTGAAACACCATCATTAGTGCGCTTTAATGCTATGTTTATATATAGCACAAATGATGTCACATCAAAGTGTTATTACACTAGTGTAATATCGTTTTTATTAAATGTATTTATTACACTCCTGCGCCTCGGTTTATGTGATAAATATTATATATGATTAAAAATCATTTAAAGTAAAAATGAAATGCATTTTTAAATGTAATTGGCTAGAAATTGTAAAAAATTCTTCAAAGTCATATATATCATTGTTTATTTACAGATATTCACCCATTTAAATGCAACATGTGCCCATTTACCTGTATTCAATCCAACCAGCTTAAATCACACATGCGCACACATACAGGAGAAAAACCATACAAATGTACACAGTGTAAATATGCTGCAGCCTGGAATGTCCAACTCAAAGATCACATCAAAGTTCACAGTATTGCAACAGCTGTCATGTGCCAGGAATGTGACGTTGCTTTCATAAATGAAAGGACTCTGAATTTACATACAAAAAAGGAACACTGTTAGACTATGTGATTATATAATTATTTTATATGAAATACTGGTATGCTTTTTGTTGGTACTTAACCTAGATTAATTATAAATATAAATTATAAATTGAAATAATGTTATTTATTTATTAAAGGTAAGCTTTAGGCAAGAAGTTCCTTTTGACAGTCTTGCATATATGCACTTAACATTCCTATTTATTGTTTTTAAAGAGTATAAATCTATATCTTATGAAATTTTTATAAAATTTATCAACTTGTTCCATAATCTTACTGTTGATTCTTGAAAGAGGTGTAACAAAGAATGTCTCTGTTATTTTATACACATGAATATTGTACGCAAACAGAATAAAATGTTACAGAACCAAATATTATTCTGTTATTTTAAGTAGAGTTTTATCCATTTAGCAATGATTTTATTCATGCGCCAATTTTTAAGGCAATAGTATTCCAGATTTATTTCAAACAACCATTTTGGATGTATTCTTTTTTAAAATTCAAACAACAATTTTTGCAGCAGATATACATGGATAGGTTTATACACTTTAATGTTGCAGACTAAATCATTTGCCCCTCACTGATGTAGGTTTAAATCTCAGACAGAGTTATAGTTAAAGGCTTATAGCTAATGCTATTGCATAAATTGGTTACTTTATTTCATGATTTGTATTTTCATGGTCCCTTGGAAAATGAAGGCTTTTTCTAGACATGTATGTTTCAGCAAAATGCTTTAATTGTATGTGTTGTACAACTAGATCTAAACAGTTTTTTTATATGATTTTTCACAGTGAAAAAATGCCCTATTTAGGCCCAAAACACTGTTTCTCATTTGAGAAATGTTGTTAAAAAAAGTGACCACTTTTTCAGCGCAGACCCCATCGAAATGGTACATCATGGGGTTTCCAGAAGGGGGATGTGCCCCCTTCTGTTTGGTGGGGTTTGAAGGGGGCGGTAGTCCCCCTCATCGCCAAGAAAATTTTGGACATGTGACAGGCTAAAAATGGCCTCAGGTCGATCTTAGGGTAACAAGTAACCGACGCTGAAAAGCCTTTTGCTCTATCTTAATTCATTGAGAAGTTGAAGCACTTTGAAATCAGTTTTGATAGAAAAAAACAATGCAATGATTTTTCGCAATTTTGAGACGTCCCCACGTTGCCATGGTAATAGAAAATTTACGATTGAGCATGCTGTTACAGAGGCTTTGGTCTTGTCAACATTTGTGCCAAGTTTCATGAGTATTGAAGCATTTTTCATAGTTTCATAGCAGTTTGAACTTGTAACAGGAGGCAGAGACATAGATAATCTATGTCTCTGCAGGAGGCTTTTCAATGAAAACGGCCATTTTAGCTCGACTTTTTTTTGAAAAAAAGTAGAAGTATTATTATAGTCGTCGGCGGCGTTGCCGTTGCCGTCCGCAAACTTGTAACTGGATCATAACTTGTTTAGTTCTTGGTGTATTGTCTTCATACTTGTCCACAACAACCATTGGGACAAGACCTTTCAGTAGACACCACTAACTTTGACCTTCATCCATAAATGACCTTTACCTTCAAGGTCAAAAGTCCAACTTTTGCTTGTTCTTGCTATTATTGGCTTTAATTTTTGAATGGATTGTCTTCAAACTTGAACATAATAATCTTCAAGGATAACCCTTAAAAATAACCAGACAGACCTTGACCTTCACTCATTAATGACCTTGACTTTGAAGGTCAAATTATTGAAATTTTCATTGTTTTGGCTGTAACTGGCTGTAACTTTGCTATTATTGAAGGGATCGACTTCATATATAACAGAACATTCTTAAGGACAAGACCTTGTTGTTTATCAAACCCAAATTGACTTGGGCTTTTTAATGACATTGATCTTGAAGGTTAAATTGCTGAATTTTCTCAGATTTGTGCATTAAATGACCATATATATTTATTGGTGTGTATATATCAACAACAACAACATCCACCGCCCACAAATACAACCGCCCACCTTCAACCCCCAAACAGAAGGGGCACATCTACTATACAGACCAGGCAGGTCCAAATATATCTGACTGGACAGATTCTGATAATAGGTTTGTTGTTTTTGCAAAACTCTAGTTAAACACCATTTATGAACAAGAAAATTTATATTGTAGATTTATAATTGTGATACAAATTCATGAATAGATTCTTTAGGAGTTAAATACTGATATTACTGGTAAACCTTGAATAGAAATGTGCAGCTACATTGAGCAGAAAATTTCTGGTCGTAAAGTTTATCTGAGAATGTATGAATGTGTAAATCACACCAAAAAACACGTTTTTATTTCCAGGCATTGTAAATTGTAATATTCAAAGTAATAAAAAACATAAAGGCTTGATAAATGTTTGGAGTTAATTTGAGTAAGTAATTAAGTAATTTGAATAACAGTTTAAGTGTACAAGAGCCACCGCCGGGCGGGGGCAACGCTCGACTTTTTACTTTTTCTAAACGCAAACATAGAAAGGTTTGAACATATATTAACGTTTCCTTTTTATAAATTTAGTTGGTCTGTCTTGTCACATTAGTTTTCTTTATATATTTTGTATATATATGACCGCCTCCGTGGTCGAGGGGTTAGAGTCGATGACTTCTAATCCAGTTACCTCTCTGGCGTGGGTTCGATCCCCGGGAGATGCTTTGGTAGTTTAGCGCGGAGGAAGGTAGTCTAGTACTGGTGTAACTCTCCAGGAACGATGGTTAGGAAACTACCCGCCTATATGACTGAAATACTGTTGAAAAAAAGGCGTAAAATGAAGCAAACAAACAAACAAAATTGTATATATATGAACTGGAACAGTACATCCCAGATATGAATAAAACATTAAGCATATTTCTAAAAATAGCAACAGTACGCAATTTCTTAAAATAGCAACATGACGCAATTTCTAAAAATAGAAAAAATGATGCAATTTCTAAAAATACAAAAAAATGACATAATTTCTAAAAATAAAAAAGTGACGCAATTTAAAAATAGCAACAATGATGCAATTTCTAAAAATAGAAAAATTGACGCAATTTCTAAAAATAGCAACACTTTCTAAAAATAGCAACAATGATGCAATTTCTAAAAATAGAAAAAAAAATGACGCAATTTCTAAAATAACAAAGTTACAGCCAATAATAGCCAAAAAAATGAAAATTTCAATAATTTGACCTTCAAAGTCAAGGTCATTGATGAGTGAAGGTCAAGGTCTGACTGGTTATTTTTAAGGGATATCCTTGAAGATTATTATGTTCAAGTTTGAAGACAATCCATTCAAAAATAACAAAGTTACAGCCAATAACAGCATGAACAAGCAAAAATTGGACTTTCAGACTTGAAGGTCAAGGTCATTTATGGATGAAGGTCAAGGTTAGTGTGGTCTACTGAAAGGTCTTGTCCCAAGGGTTGTTGTGGCCAAGTATGAAGACAATACACCAAGAAATAAAAAAGTTATGATCCAGGTACAAGTTTTCGGACGGCAACGGCAAAGGCAACGGCAACGCCGACCTGACTATAACAATACCTCTACTTTTTTTTTTCAAAAAAAAAAGTCGAGCTAATAAATGACATAACAAGGTATTTATCTCATCTAAATTCTCAATAATTATGATTCTTATAACTAATTTTACCATTCTTTAATTGGAAAATGGAAATCTTGTGGCATCACGATTCTCGCAAAAAAAAACTGTATAAGCAGCTACATGTATATACAAACAAAGAAGAAAACCTGCATTGATGGATGAAATCAAGCTCCTGTTACCTAGTTTTTCATCTGAGATGACCCATGTTCAAATTCATCCGAGCAATTACCTAGACAAGCATCCTGACCAAGTTTGATGATAATTGTGTACTAGAGTGTTAACAAGGTTTTTCTATTTTTAGCTCCTGTGACCTAGTTTTTCATCCGAGAGGACCCATGTTCGAACTCATCGAAGCAATAACCTAGACAAGCATCCAGACCAAGTTTGATGATAATTAAGTCAAAAATGTGACCACTAGAGTGTTAACAAGGTTTTTCTATTTTTAGCTCCTCTAGTTTTTTATCCGAGATGACCCATGTTTGAACTCATCCGAGCAATTACCTAAACATACATCCTGACCAAGTTTGATGATGATTGAGTCAAATATATGCCCACTAGAGTAATAAAGAACAAGTGTGGACGGACGACGGACTACAGACGTTCAAAGATGCTAAAAGCTCAACCTGAGCAAGCTCGGGTGAGCCAAAGAGACACTGGGTGCATTTTATTAAACTACTAGTTTCTATAACAAACACAAAGTCATGTGTGTATATAATTCAACCACTATTTTCTATAAAAAATAACAAATGTATACAATAAGCACATCATATTTCTTACAGTATAAAAAGATGTCATTATCATTGATATACAAAGAAATTGACAGCAATAGAAATAAGAAAAAGAATTTTATGTAATAAGCAAGACAACATATCAAGACAATAATATTTTATAATGTGAATGTTACAAACATTTGTTATGACAAGTTAAACAATCTTGATATGATGCTACATTTCGTTAACAAATTTTATTTCATAAATAATTAATAATATCTAAACATTATTTGATTAGATTTACAATACTGTTGGAAAGGTTTATGAAACAGTAGAATGCTTGGTTTTAGACTGACAGCAAAATTATTTTTACATATTTATAAAATGTAACTTAAATACTAGCACTTATCGAAAATGACATTTTGAAAATTCGTTTCAGTGGGCATAATCTGACCAAAATCAGACTGGCAATTTTTAAACTTGAGATTTTTTATATTAAAATGTATATACTATTGTGCATACAGCATAGTGCCCTTGAGTATGCCAATAAGTTTTTCTATATGGACTAAAAACTTGTGGAAAAGAATGACTTAAGAATCATTTTTGTGAAGTTTGGTTGATACTTACCATGTGATTCAGAAGAAAAGGCTGTTTGGAGAAAATTTAAATTGGGTGTCAATAATTAAACAGATTGATACCTATCAGCACAATATCTTAAATGAGCACCTGACCCTAAACAGTCAAATTTGATATAAAAAGGAGTTATTCCTTAGTTTCAAATTCTCTAAAAAAATTCATACTTAACTGCATAGGAAATAAATTTTTAAGTGGTAAATAAATCCATACTGACTTATATGTATAAGCACTGTTTGATACATATGAAATTCATACAAATGTATTAACAGGTGAGTTTGATTACATGTATGTGTAATTTTGCACAATTTTACAGTCAATTTTTGGGGTGTCCATGGCCAAGTGGTTAAGGTCGTTGACTTCAAACAACTTGCCCATCACCGCTGTGGGTTCGAATCCAGACAGGGACTTTGGATTCTTTCATGTGAGGAAGCTATCCAGCTAGCTTATGGAACGTCGGTGGTTCTACTCAGGTGCCTGTTCGTGCCTGAAATATTGCACGGAAGGGCACCTAGGTCTTCCTCCTCCAGTAAAGCTGGAACGTCGCCATATGAAAACCCAATCAAACAAAGAAACAAACAAATAGTCAATTTTTCTTTTACAACATTAATTAAACACTGTTTTGATCCAAATTGCCTGGAAATTGGTCTGAATGTTTGTTTTGGTGATTTCTAGGTCAAGATCGAATATGGCTCACCTGGGGTCAAAAACTAGGTCACACTGCTCAAATATGGAATATCCTTGTTAACACTAGTGATCACATTTTTGACTCACCTGTCATGAAACTTGGTCAGAATGCTTGTCTAGGTAATTGTTCGGATGAGTTTGATGGGTCAGGTGAGCAATCTAGGGCCATCATGGCCCTCTTGTTGTGTTTACTCAGCAACAGTGAAGTAATAAGTTTTCTAAAATAAAATAGACAAATAAAAACTGCTATTTGTTTGTTTGTGTTTTGTTTGTTAACTGTAATGTGTTAAATATCCATTGTATAATAAAATTAAATGGAAGCATTGATTGAGGACTTTGCAAAAAACATTCTATTTACATTACAGGGACAGATGTTGAATGAATGAAGAAAAATGGAATAATACATACAATCAAAGTGCTTAAAGCACTTTATATGACAGACAGAAATGCTTCTTGGTTTGTTTTTTTTTTGTCCGGTTTTACATCACACCAACACTGTAAATGTCATAATTGTGACTTTCCCGCTTTACTAATGGAGGAAGACCTCGAGTGCCCCTCCATGCATATTATTTCAGCGATGAATGAACCACCAATGAGCCAGATAGCTTCCTAATATGAAAGAATCCATAAAAGGTGGTGGTGGAATTTTTACACACATCAAATATCAATCTGACCTAAGTTCAGAACTACTTATTTCTTACTTGTAGATCAGATTACCACCGTTAATGTTAACCGCCTCCCTGGTCGAGTGGTTAGAGTCGATGACTTTTAATCCAGTTACCTCTCTGGCGTGGGTTCGATCCCCGGGAGATGCTTTGGTAGTTAAGCACGGAGGAAGGTAGTCTAGTACTGGTGGAACGCTCCAGGAACGAGTTAGAGCAAATTATAGTCGTTGAAATATGATTTTTTTTCCAAAATGGCTTATATTAAATTTTTTCGATATATATGATCAGTATGTGCTGGGATTGACAAATATGCTTTTTATTTGGATTTTAAAGGCATTTTGAGCTCCACACCCCAAGTGTCTGTGAGTAAGATGATAATATGCATATGATATCACTTTGAATATATTGCAATCATCATCCTTTTTCATCTTGTTAACTTTGGTATGAAGGCGAAAAATAGCATATTAGCAGTATATATTTGCTTCTTAAACTTACTGTATAGTAAACATATGTTTTGTTTTTATAAATTCAGCTGTTTTTATTAATTAAGCTCTTAATATTAAGATGGAAACATGAATGTTTTTTTTTAATATATGATTGTCTTCACATGATATGTACAGTATATAGTTACCATTTCGACAGCTTGGTGTGAAAGGGTCTTAACTCCTCCTTTATTTCATATGAGTTATGATCCTTTCACATGCCTCGATTTGTGCTATTTTCTTGGATTTAATTTACCTCAAATCATCTGGAAGATTGCTCATGTATAGGACTACACATACTTCAGGGCATGTTTATTGACAAATATCAATGACACGTTTGGTAAAACAACTACATGTGTATATGTAAAATAAATCTGCAAAATGCATTTGCGAAATTATAATCTGTATGTTTACGAAAAATTGTAAGGATAACTTATTTCAGAAATAATTTCAGAACTGGAATAGTGCAAATTGTTTGAAGAAAAATGCTTAGTGGTGTTCAACCTTATGGACCGCAGAATGTATATTTAGCCAGAAAAGAGAAAAACATTAATCAACTTGTTTTTTGATTTCGCTAAAGTTACCGAAATCAACTTTTCATTACCGAAATCAACACGTAAAAACTAGCCTAGTTAAAATATTGCTATTATTTCTTTATTATTTGATGAAAATTATTAAAATAGACTTTCAGTTTAAAAATCTAGTGAAAATATTTTATTTTAATGATGTTATTAACAAAAATGTAATTAGAGTTACTTCCCTTTGTTCTAAACATCCAGTTATGTGTAAAGCATTACCGAAAAATACATATATAGTGTTTATTTATGATAATTTATGTTTTTGAAATTAAAGAAAACCCGACTGCATTGATGAGAGCGTTCAGTTGCAACTGAAAAGTGGAATACATATTCATTTGACAGGGTACAATATTAATGAACAGATGAACAAAGAAACCTTACAAAGTAAGAAATTTATGAACTTTCGAACAGGGGTGATTTACTTTAAGTCATTATGCAATAAAATATATTGCGGGTTTAGAGATATGTGATACGCAAATTATGTATAACATCACGACATTTATAACAAGACATTGTCACAAGCATGTTATATATCTGCACGTGATTGTCGTGCCAGTGATTTTTCTCACTTAATTGGGAAGAGGCCTTAGCCTCTTGATTTTGGGAAAAATTATCGCTAAAATTGCTGATTTGGGAAGTAAAAAAAAAAGCTGGGTTTAAGTTTTAGAAATTTTTGGGGGGGAAAAAACTGGCATTGATTTTAAAGAAAATTTCAATTGGGAAGGAGGCCACCTTTTTTTCGGAGTCTGTTATAACTTTATATAAGTAGGAAAAAATTTTTACTGCGTGCATAAACAATTTTTTCTAAACAAATTGTATTTTTTATAAGGCCCTATTTTTGACGGATATGGGGATAAAACTTATTGGGCTATGATGGAAAATACAAATACTGTTATTAAGTGAGTTAAAGCTAATTATTAAATTTTGTACATGTATTCATTCTGTTTTTATGAAAGTAATAAATATCCAACTTTCTTACTGGAAAGTTATGATTTTCTTTTATAAATTTGAATAACAGATATTATGAAATTCTACTGCTCGTAAAATTTGCCATTAAACATTGTATAATGTTTTAGGCAGTAAAATTGGAAATTTGAAAATTTGTATCTTGTATTTGTAATCCAGCAATTTGGTTGTCTTTTTTTTATTTGAACAGTTTCAACCCAATATATTAACAAATTGTTTTAACATTTGTTATGGGACTCTCTTTATTTATATGACATCATGTTTAGATTTTTAGTCAAATTACCTTGTCCATATATTATGTTTTAGTTTTTTAAATTACATTAAATAAATTATGTAAAAAAATATTTTTACGTCAGCCTAAAAACCAACATGCTACAGGTTTTCATTAACCTTTTAACAGTTTTTGTTGTAAATCTCATCAAATATTGTTTAATAAATTAGGATTTTAAATGGAAAAACCCCACATAACATAAATTCGTTATACAATATTAAACAGAAGAAGACTATTTAATCAGCTGTGTAATGCCGCTACGTATAATGTTATAGTTGCTGTCCGGAACACAGAAAAATATAAGATTTTTTGTGCAAACAACACTTTAATGTCTGTTTAAGTTCACGGGTGCAGTTGGGCCTGGGGTTTCAGGAATAAAAATCATCTCATAAAAAAGATTAAATTTTGTAGAAATTATCCCTTACAATGGCCAGAAATCTATACCGTTAAATTACGACTGCTAACTTATGTCATGTTTGTTATTTTTTAATATTGATTCGGGATGACAGAAAGGCGGAGTTTCACATGGCTAAAACGGAGAATTGTACTCCCCGAATTCGCCACAAGAGGCTGCACATTTTTATGGAGGTTGTACTGCACAGTAAAAGGTTTTCGTGTTTGTATGGATGTCTGTATGTTTTGAGTCATGTTTTCAAAACTTTAAGACATTATATAAATTTCATAAAAAAACAGCGTGTTTTCATTAATAAAATTGGATTCTAATGCGGGAATTCTCGCTGAAAATAAGGTTGGAGTCGATAAGAAACCAATTTATTAAATGAAATGACGGGCTATTTTCTGTTTTTTATGAAATTTAATTTTAATGTTTAACTTTAAATGGTTTATTATGAAATACATGGTGAAAGCCCTATGGGTTCATTAATAATCTTTTATTTTTAAACAGTACATGTAACATTGTAGATCAGTCAACTGCACCTTTCCGTCTCAATCATTTCACACCTTTATTTAATATATAATACATATTGTGGATTTAAATTAAATACTGTGATAATTTCCAATCAACTATTTTATTAAGCGGATAACTTCAAACACAGTTTTTTTTAATCTTGTATTTTGATCAGGTTAATTATTAAGAAACATCAAAGAAATGATAAGCTTCTATAATATCTGACTGAAGGGAAAATTAAAACATTAAAAATATGTGATATGAATTCAAAGTTTAAAACTCACTCAAATACCTTTTTTCATAGACTTCTGAAATTCATGCAAATCATAGTTGTTATAAAATAAGGATTCATAACAACAAAAAATACAATTATAATCAAAGGCCAATAAAGAACATATTCGTGACGTATTTATTCTCAAATTATTTAGGGGTTGTTCTCATCATTGAAATGAAATCGTAATAATTTGATTTTGGTAATGCGATACATTAATAACAAGGGATGTAATCATGATATAACATACATATTCGTCTATAACATCATCATTTTTTATAATTATATGTCATTTTCCTTTTTTGTGGTTCACTTTGAATTATTTTATATTAATTAATTAAAAAAGATCAATTAAAATATTTATTTTAACTTTTACAAGCCGATTTCGGTATGGTAACATATATTTCGGTTGTGACAAATCAGGGATATTTAGATTTTTGTTTCTAATTTCATAATATGAAAAAATATATTATAAAAGTTACTTCCCTTTTTCATAAATTTGCCATTTGTACAGATTGTAAGTTTGTCAAGCTTCTCCACTTTTCAGATACGATTATGGAGCTAGATCAAGTGAAACACAGAATAAATGAAAATGCTGAACCTGCAAATAACAAACAAGATGATGTAAATGCATGCTGTGATTCTGGTAAATATGAAAAACCTAAAAGATATTGTTTCTTATGTTATAAATCGATCATCACTGGCAAATAATTTTATGGTAGACAGAGGTTTCACTATTGAGACGGTTCACACCAAAACGGTTCACACCAAGACGTTTCACTCCCTTTTTATACCAAAATTATTTTGATACTTATGATATACTAAAATAGACCTAAAATATTGAATTGAACAAAAATAGAACTTAATTTTAATAATAAATAAATTAAAAAGGGGGATTTCACTTTTTTGTCAATGACTTCAAATTCAGTACTTTAAGTTCTATCATTTCAGTTATCTTATCTTATTTATTGTTGTTTTGAAATAAGGTGTTTTTCTATTCTTTGATCCATATGTGCAATTATCACATTATTTCACTTAACCCTTTACCTCATATATACGCAAAACAACGCACTTTCGACCCCCCCTTTTTTAGGCCTGAATTAGTGAAAAATGTCCTATTTGGGCCCCAAACACATGTTTTCGTTTGAAAAATGTTGCTAAAGAATGAGCACTTTTTTGGGGCCGCCCCCCATCCAAAAGATACATCAGGGGGTGGCCAGAAGGGGGATGTACCCCTTCTGTTTGGGGGGTTTGAAGGGGGCGGAGTCCCCCTCATCGCCAAGAAAATTTTGGACTTGTGAGAGACTAAAAATGACCCCAGGTTGATCATAAGGTAATGTGTAACCAACGCTGAAAAGCCTTTGACTCTATCTCTGTCCCTTGAGAAGTTGCAGCACTTTGAAATAAATTTGGATGGAAAAAATCGAGACAAAATAGTGATTTTTGGCAATTTTGAGATGTCCCCTCGTTGCCATGGTAACAGGAAATTTAAGACTGAGCACGTCGTTACAAAGGCAATGGTCTGGTCAACATTTGTGCCAAGTTTGATTAGTATTGAAGCATTTTTCATAGTTTCATAGCAGTTTGAACTTGTAACAGGAGGCTTTTCAGTGAAAACGGCCATTTTTCACAATATGCTCATGAGGGAAAGGGTTAAAGAAAAAATATTTTTGATTAAAATAACACTTTAATATAACTAACTATTTGATCTTTTGTAAACATGGACTCAATAGGCAATTTTAAGATAAAGCATAACAATCTTGTGACAACAATTAACTTTGAGTAACGTGTTTTTTGTAGTTAATTTTAAACATGGAATGAAAAAATTGTTAAATTATTTAATGCTAGTATAGTGCTTTTGCGATATATGTCAAAAATTTTAATTCCCTTGAAATCAGAAATATCTTTAGATTAAATTAGAAGCATTGGGACTTTTTCAATATTTGTCATTTATAATCATTTTTTATGACTAAAATTCATTATTATATAAACAAAACTTATGGAGAAGTTTCTGTGAATAAATTGGCTGTTGTCAAAAATTATTTTAATGGTCCAATAAACAACTGATTAGTAAACTGTTGATGCTTAAGTACAATATTTATACCACTGATTTTAATAGTGGTGTCAAACTGTTAGTTGATTGTTTCAGTGTTTATACAACTAATTAGGCAATGAGATAACACCACAATTACTTCAGTTTGTTTAATGGCTACTGTTGAAGAAAATAATTTTAAAAATTCATTTATTTGATACATATGTTTCGCATTTCATTGTTAAAGAATTACAAAAAATAATCATTATATAGTCAATATATTGATATTTTTAATTATTTGAATAGTATTAATTACTTTACTGGTAGTGATTTCAATATTTAAACTGATACTTATAATATGTCTTTGTTGTTCTTTCTATGTTATTCTATTTTTTTTTAATTGACTATAAATAGAATTTTCTCATGTTGTTACACTTTAACATAAAAGTGATATTTCAGAAATTTGTCTTTCATTTATGCCTCTTATCACTCAAACCATAATTACATGTAAATGAGTAATAATTTGTATCAACAATACCACTGAAATTAACAAAATGAAACATTAAATTGAATTTCCTTGTTACACTGTTTGATATTAATGAAATTAAAATTTGTTAACTTTCCTAGTACACATCTCTAAAAATTGGGAGTGAAACGTCCATACAATTGACAAAATGGGAGTGAAACGTCTAGGTATGAACCGTCTTGGGAGTGAAACGTCTCAATAGTGAAATGTCTTGGGAGTGAAAGGTCTGACATTCTAATTTTATTCAGATTTATGGGTTTTTCTCACAGATTTGTAAATATTGAGAAAGATTATCGCTGAAATACTAAGTGGTAAATTAAAACAGTTGGTGAAAGTTTCTCGTTTTATCAGGGTTCCTCGGATATTATCAGTGTGTCTCGTTTTATCAGGACATGCTTAAAAAAAGTAAAAATTGGCATTTCAGAACCCATAAATGTGCATCTCTTAGCTCTGACAGGTAAGGTGGTTTTGACCCCTGTGTTGCTTTAAAGTTGTAACTCCCAAGGTTAGCAAAAATACATTAATAACAAGGGAAGTAATCATGATATAACAAACATATTCGTCTGTAACATCATCATTTTTTATAATTATATGTCATTTTACTTTTTTTGTGGTTCACTTTGAATTATTTTATATTAATTAATTAAAAAAGATCAAGTAAAATATTTATTTTAACTTTTACAAGCCGATTTCTGTATGGTAACATATATTTCGGTTGTGACAAATTAGGGATATTTAGATTTTTGTTTCTAATTTCATAATATGAAAAAGTATATTATAAAAGTTACTTTCCTTTTTTCATAAATTTGCCATTTGTACAGATTGTAAATTTGTCAAGCTTTTCCCCTTTTCAGATTCGATTATGGAGCTAGATCAAGTGAAACACGGAATAAATGAAAATGCTGAACCTGCAAATAACAAACAAGATGATGTAAATGCATGCTGTGATTCTGGTAAATATGAAAAACCTAAAATATATTGTTTCTTATGTTATAAATTGATCATCATTGGCAAATAATTTTATTCAGATTCATGGGTTTTTCTCATAGTTGTAAATATTGAGAAAGATTATCGCTGAAATTGCTAAGTGGTAAAGTAAAACAGTTCATGAAAGTTTCTCGTATTATCAGGGTTCCTCGGATATTATCAGTGTTTCTCGTTTTATCACGACATGCTTAAAAAAAGTACAAATTGGCATTTCAGAACCCATAAATGTGTCTACATTGTAGCACTGATAAATGCCAAGTCAACATTCAATTAAAAATGTGACAAAAACATGTAAAAATATTTTTTATGAAAATATCAATAAATGCAGAAAAATGTGTTTAAACTTAATTTTAATCGTAGACTATACTGGGTGGGGACCACCAAAACCGGACAACCATCAAACCGGACGGCCCCGAAAATGCTTAATTTAGTATTTTCTTTGTTCAGTGGTTGTCAGTCACTTTTTTTATCAACAATAAATGCACGTTACTTCTAAAATTAAGTAAATAAATTTATTTCAACCTCTTTAAATGGTAATATTTTAAGGTAAAGTGTCAACTCAGCCCTATACCAACTCGGCACGGGTCAACTTGACACAGGTCAACTCGGCCCTCTATCAAAAACATATATTAAGATATAGATTGATTAGATAGATAATAGAAAATTACTTCAAAGTTATTCAGAAGTATGATCACTTACAAACAGAAATTGAAAAAGTTGGCTGTGTACCTGTATGTATTGTTTGAAATTATCTTTGTTAAGAAGAGATATCAAGACAATATATGTTAAATATTGATCAATAAATAAAGATTTTAGATTGAATTTTTGTGACCATTTATGTAATTTTATTTAATACGGTTTGTTCTTTAATATAACCAATGCTGTTTTAACGATATTTTTACAAAAAATCTGGAATAGCAGAACATGCATATAAATTGTAAATTCTTTCTTTCTCTACAAATTCACATACAAATTGGTACTTTCATCAATAAAACTTTTCAATATCCTTGAGTACAGGTCTGTTACTGTGAAAATGTTAAACCATGAAAGTTATGATGAAAACATATCTAAAGTAATAAAAGTAATCATTACCAGTAATATAAAATTATGGGCCAAGTTGACCCTTGCCAAGTTGGAATAGGGCCGAGCTGACTCAAGGGCCTTGTACGTTTTAGGGCCGAGCTGACCCTGGTACATATTGTAATGTCTATTTCAAGAATGTTGACATTGAAATTTGGGGGTCAAGAAAACAATGCCTGACCTCATATGCCAGCTATAATCAATTGCAGGGTAAACAATAGAATATCCAAACCTCAGCATTTGTTGCTGAAATATTGTTTATCATGTTAAAAATCAAATATCAAAACACCTAAGCTTTTATCTGAATTAAATCATGTCATGTACATATCTGTCCGGACACATGGTAGTGATGGTACTGTAGTGTAGACAATTTAGGTAATTTTGATACCCTCCTTGACGAGCCTCAGACATAAGTGTCAATATAATCAGATAAAAACAAACTAGTTTGTTAGTTAGGAGAAGAACCTAGCTGAACTGTGTCAAATTTTTTGGTCTCTAGGTTAAAAATTATGAAATCTGTACAGAAAAATGTTCCAAAAGTGTAACGAAAGTGTAAAGTTGTAACACCCAAGGTTAGCCAAAATCATCTTTCTTATTTCGGCCACATATGACTGCCGGAATTGTGTTGGTGCACCATAAAACCAAACAAAACAAACAATGAACTAACTCTGTAACTTTTAAGTATTTTTTGCTGTATGACACAAGGAAACAACAATATATTCAATCAAAAGCAGGTTTTATGGGCAAGATGTAGACCATAGGTTGGCCTAAATGAAAACATCATGTCTTCATTTAACTCATGGTAAATGGTGTTACTCCATTTTCAGCTCACCTGTCACAAAGTGACAGGGTGAGCTTTTGTGATCGCTTTTCGTCCGGCGTCCGTCCGGCGTCCGTCCGTCCGTAAACTTTTGCTTTAAATGACATCTCCTCATAAACCACTGAGCCAATTTTATCCAAACTTCACAGGAATGTTCCTTTGGTGGTCACCTTTAAAAATTGTTCAAAGAATTCAATTCCATGCAGAACTCTGGTTGCCATGGCAACCAAAAGAAAAAACTTTAAATATCTTCTTTTAAAAAACCATAAGAGCTAGAGCTTAGATATTTGGCATGAAACATCTTCTAGTGAGTGTCTACCAAGTTTGTTCAAATAAAAGCCCTGGGGTCAAAATTGGCCCCGCCCGGGGGGGTCATTGATTTTCCCTATATGCATATAGTAAAACTAAAAAAAAAACTCTTTTAAACAACCCAAAGAGCTAGAGCTAAGATATTTAGCATGAAACATGTTCTAATGGGTGTCTACCAAGTTTGTTCAAATAAAAGCCCTGGGGTCAAAATTGGCCCCGCCCCTGGGGGTCATTGATTTTCCCTATATGCATATAGTAAAAACTTAAAAAAACTTCTTTTAAAGAACCGTAAGAGCTAGAGCTTAGATATTTGGCATGAAACATCTTCTAGTAAATGTCTACCAAGTTTGTTCAAATAAAAGCCCTGGGGTCAAAATTGGCCCCGCCCCCGGGGGTCATTGATTTTCCCTATATGCATATAGTAAAAACTTAAAAAATCTTCTTTTAAAGAACCCAAAGAGCTAGAGCTAAGATATTTAGCATGAAACATCTTCTAATGAGTGTCTTACCACCAAGTTTGTTCAAATAAAAGCCCTGGGGTCAAAATTGGCCCGCCCCAGGGGTCATTGATTTTCCCTATATGCATATAGTAAAAACTTAAAAATCTTCTTTTAAAGAACTCAAAGAGCTAGAGCTAAGATATTTAGCATGAAACATGTTCTAATGAGTGTCTACCAAGTATGTTCAAATAAAAGCCCTGGGGTCAAAACTGGCCCCCTCCCGGGGGGGGGGGGTCATTGATTTTCCTTATATGTGTATAGCAAAAACTTAAAAAATCTTCTTTGGAAAAACCCAAGTAGCTAGAGTTTAGATATTAAGCATGAAACATCTTTAAGTAAATATCTACAAAGTTTGGTTAAAATAAAACGCCCGGGGTCAAAACTGGCCCTGCCCCAGGGTGTCATTGTTTTTAAACTATATGTGTATAGTAAAAACTTTAAAAATCTTCTTTTAAAAAAAAGCCAATGAGCTAGAACTTAGATGTTTAGCATGAAACATCTTCTTATGGGTGTCTACCAAGTCTGTTCAAATAAACAAATAAAAGCCCTTGGGTAAAAATTGGCCCGGGGGTGGGGGGACCTATATACAGGTGAGCAACCTCAGGGCCATCATGGCCCTCTTGTTTATGTTTCAGTTAAAATTTTCTACATATTATAACTGTAGTTAAATATTCATACTATAATCTTTATGTTTGTTACACAAAATATCTTGTATATAATCAAGGACATTTAAAACATGATGATTGTTTCAGACACACAAAAATTTTGATACATGTATAGAATTTTCCAGAAATGAGTACCGGTAATAGAATTTTACACGGTTTAGGTATTTTTGCACTTATTTGACCTCTTATAGAATCAGCTTGTTGGTCATATTTGATGTAGATACATATAGATACAGTGTAAATGAAAAATGTAATGGGCTCATCATAAAAATGTATGGAGGAAAAACATTTTTTTTTTGTTTGCAGAAGATGAAACGTTTTCTCAAAATAACACCTTACATTTAACACAATCACTGCCGAGTACAGAATTTGTGAAAATTGAAATAGAAGAGATAATAGAAGAAGAAGAAGAGGCAGAAGAAGAAAATGATGATGTTGATGATGATAATGATAATAGAGTAGAAGGAAAAGAGAAAGAAAAAGAGGGAGATAATGAAGTTCAAATCACTCCTGAACAGAGACCCAAAAGAAAAAGGTCTATTAAAAGCATAGACAAAAACAAAAAGTCTATTAAAAGCATAGGCAAAAACAAAAAGACTATTAAAAGCATAGACAAAAACAAAAAGTCTATTAAAAGCATAGACAAAAACCAGAAACAGAAGCAGACTAGATGTAGATTGACATTAACAAAGCTTGCATGGGATAGATGGAATGATTTAAAGACAAGTTTAAGTGTAAAAACCCATAATGACCTGGCTTTACTGCTTATTGATTGCTGGTAAGTTTTTGGATTGCCAGTATTTGAAATCATCTCAATAAAATTAACATTTGGTAGTATTACCAAAGCCAGCATATGGCAACTTATTTTACCCACCCATGCAGTATTATCATGGTCTGCACTGTTTGCTATTCAGTCAGTATATATTTTGAAATTTTACCACCAAATCAAAGTTCTGCCATTTAACTAAATTTTCGGAGGAAGGTAGTCTAGTACTGGTGTAACTTTCCAGGAACGATGGTTGGGAAACTACCCGCCTATATAACTGAAATACTGTTGGGAAAAGGCGTAAAATGAAACAAACAAACAAACAAATTTAACTAAATTTTAACAATTTTGAATTGTAATTGTATATTATAGCCCAAAGTTTCATGAAAATTTTAGAAATGTATTTGAAAGTAGAATATTATGAGGTGAACAAAAAAAGTAATTTACATATTGCAATCAACATTACCAAAAAGTGGTCAACATATGCAAAACAGCCCTTACTACATTAGTAACGCAGTAGAAATATTGTGATAAAATACTGCAAAATCAGTCTTAAACCACACATAACATGTAAAATATTACTTGGATCTTGAATGTTTTTAGCTTTCTTAAAGTTGTAGTACATTTTTCTCAGTATTGATTTTCTTAAAATATCTTGGCTCATCTGGAGGCGTGCAGCTTTAAGTACACACTTGTATGTATGTATGAATTTATGCTTATTGTTCAAATAGTAAAAAATAAGTAGTAGTCAACAGCAAATTCTTAAAATTCCCAGTTATGTACCAACGTTTTGGCTTATTGTTTAAGAGTAATTAGTTTGGAAATAGTGCTTGCAACTAAGATTAATCACTTTTGAGTTCATTTCTTGAAACTAATCAGTACTATTGACTTATGAGGAAACATGGATGTGACTTGAGTAGGACTCAAACCCATGATTCCTGGGTTGAAAGGCAGACACCTAAACTTCACGGACATCTCTCCCTTCCAGACGAAATGGATTAGTTGTGTGGTTTACTATTTGGTTTTTAAGCTCACCTGAGCATGCTCAGGGTGAGCTTTTAGGATCGTTGATTGTCCGTCGGCCGTCGTCCGTTCACATTTTGTTATTAACACTAGCGGTCGCATTTTTGCCTCAATCATCATCAAACTTGGTCAGGATGCTTATCTAGTTGATAGCTGGGATGAGTTTGAACATGGGTCATCTTGGATGAAAAACTAGGTCACAAGAGCTAAAAATAGAAAAACCTTGTTAACACTCTAGAGGTCACATTTTTGCCTCAAATATCATCAAACTTAGTCAGGATGTTTGTCTAGGTGATAGCTCAGATGAGATCGAACATGGGTCATCTCAGATGAAAAAGTAGGTCACCGGAGCTAAAAATAGAATAACCTTGTTAACACTCTAGCGGTCACTTTTTTACATCAATCATCATCAAACTTGGTCAGGATGCTTGTCTAGGTGATAGCTCGGATGAGTTCGAACATGGGTCATCTCAGGTGAAAAAGTCGGTCACCGGAGCTAAAAATAGAAAAACCTTGTTAACACTCCAGCGGTCACATTTTTGCCTCAATCATCATCAAACTTGGTCAGGATGCTTATCTAGTTGACAGCTCAAATGAGTTTGAACATGGGTCATCCTGGACGAAAAACTAGGTCACCGGAGCTAAAAATAGAAAAACCATGTTAACACTCTAGCGGTCACATTTTTGTCTCAATCATCATCAAACTTGGTCAGGATGCTTGTCTAGGTGATAGCTTGGATGAGTTCGAACATGGGTAATCCTGGACGAAAAACTAGGTCACCGGAGCTAAAATTAGAAAAACCTTGTTAACACTCTAGCGGTCACATTTTTGCCTCAATCGTCATCAAACTTGGTCAGGATGCTTGTCTAGGTGATAGCTCGGATGAGATTGAACATGGGTCATCTCAGATGGAAAACTAGGTCACAAGAGCTAAAAATAGAAAAACCATGTTAACACTCTAGCGGTCACATTTTTGTCTCAATCATCATCAAACTTGGTCAGGATGCTTGTCTAGGTGATAGCTTGGATGAGTTCGAACATGGGTCATCCTGGATGAAAAACTAGGTCACTGGAGCTAAAAATAGAAAAACCTTGTTAACACTCTAGCGGTCATATTTTTGCCTCAATCATCATCAAATTTAGTCAGGATGCTTATCTACTTGATAGCTAGGATGAGTTTGAACATGGGTCATCTCGGATGAAAAACTAGGTCACAAGAGCTAAAAATAGAAAAACCATGTTAACACTCTAGCAGTCACATTTTTGCCTCAATCATCATCAAACTTGGTCAGGATGCTTGTCTAGGTGATAGCTCGGATGAGGTCGAACATGGGTCATCTCAGATGAAAAAGTAGGTCACCGGAGCTAAAAATAGAAAAAAATTATTAACACTCTAGCGGTCACATTTTTGCCTCAATAATCATCAAACTTGGTCAGGATGCTTGTCTAGGTATTTGCTCGGATGAGTTTGAACATTGGTCATCTCAGATGAAAAACTAGGTCACAGGAGCTAAAAATAGAAAAACCTTGTGAACACTGTAGTGGTCACATTTTTGACTCACCTGTCATGAGACTTGGTCAGAATGCTTGTCTAGGTAATTGTTTGGATGAGTTTGATGGGTCAGGTGAGCGATCTAAGGCCATCATGGCCCTCTTGTTTGTTTTGCTATTGTTAGATTGTAAGTTCATGTCTTGCAGAGCTACAATAAACCAAAATTATTCAGTTACCACTTGCTTAGTTAGTTGTGTGAATAAATTATTTGTTTTTTGCCAAGTATTTATAATCATAAAGTAAATTAAACCTAATCCCTTTGCAGGTATGGAAGACATGGTAATTCAGGACTTGAACAAAACACACATGTTGATGCTGGTGATGCCGATGAATCTATGTGAGTATATTTTAACTTAATGTTAACATGTATATAATATTTAATAAGAAACACAGATTCACAGAGTAGTGCTTTATTTATGTGAAAATTTGAAAAATTAAAACACTAATTCTACACTTTGGCCGTAAAAACATTTCATTATTTTGACACAACACTCATTACCACATTTTTGTTGCCTTTATTGTACATTGTATATTACTGCTTATCTGATTGTTGTACTTTGCAGTCCTGTACCATAATTTTCACAAATTTAAGATCCATTTCCTAAGAGAAACAAACCAACAGGTAGCATTTTTTTATTCTGAGGGTTTAAACCACATGAAACAATATTTCTCAATTCAATAATTCTACACTATAGTCTGTCCCATCAAATTTGAATATTCCATTTTTATATGCCCGAAAGAATTTCGGGCATATTATGTTATACCCCAGGGCGTCAGTCCGTCTGTGTGTCTATTATGTTATACCCCCTGGCATTTGTCTGTCTGTCCGCACTACCGAATAGGAATAGGGGGCCATCTAACTGTAAACAGAATGAAAGGGAACATTAGAATTCATTCCGTAACAATAGAGTAAGGGGCCATTGGCCCTCTATTAAACAATAGAAAATAACAAAAGAAATGGCCCCTTATTCCATTTCAGCCGGACGCCCGTCTGTCCGTCCGTTAGCAATTTGGTTTCAGGTGCATAACTTAAGTTCCATTTGGCCCACAGTGTTCAAACTTCATAGTATGATTGTCCATATTGGGTAGAAGACCCCTATTGATTTTGGGGTCACAAGGTCAAAGGTCAAGGTATTATTACTTTAAAACTGAAAACAGTTTCCATACCCTAACTTAAATTCCATTTGGCCCACAGTGTTCAAACTTCATGGAATGATTGTCTATATTGGGTAGAACACCCCTATTGATTTTGGGGTCACAAGGTCAAAGTTCAAGGTCACTATTACCTTAAAACCGGAGCATAACTTAAGTTCCATTTGGCCCACAATATTTACACTTCGTAAGAGGATTGCTATTTGAAGGAGGTAATACTTTGTTTAATTCCCATGTCTTACAAATGCTTCATCCTTACTAAAAAAACAAAACACTTTCGGGCATATAATGCTCCGCCTAGCGGTGCTCTTGTTTATTTAATATAATTGTAAAATAATTTAAATTAATGTCATGTTAACCCTGACGTCAATATCTCTAAGCATGTTTTTTTATTTTTTTCTTAACGTTATTAATATGGTCACAATGTTAAAATTATATTTTTTCCCTTTGACTTACATTGTAACCTGACATGACGTCCATTTCAAAATGGCGGCGCCCATCAGGCCTCGACACTAACTTTTTTAGCAGGTGGTAAGCTGGACCACTAGATTTGAAAGTCAAGTGGTCCTTCCAGAAGTCAGGTGGTCAGTTATCATTATATCTTTTTACTGCAAATGTATAAAAAAAATGTTTAAACTTTATGACAAAGATGTATTATTAATCTTTAAAGAAAACATATATTTTTAGATATATATTTTTCATCTAATCAGAAAAGGGAGAGCAAGTCAGTAGGTATTTTATCTTAGAGTTATTTGTTTGTTTTAATCTCAGTCAAAAATACACAACAGAGCTTTTATTTATGTTAACTTTTATATTAAAGTGATTTCTCTCTCAACTCAAGTTAGGGAATAGTGAAGCCATTTGTGTCTGTTATTTTCTTACTGTTATTCAAATATTCATTGCTGATACGTGGTACGTCTTATAATCATGATAATAACATAGCATCTTTTATAGATTAACATTTTTAATGGAACTAATAAATTATCTTATTCTTGTCTTTGAAAACAAGGAAATATCTAAATTATTAAAATAATGACAACGTTATTATTTACTATAACTTATCTTATTTTTCTCACAGATTTATAATACAGAATTTTACCTCCCTGTTGCTTGTTGGTTGATATTCATTTTTGACATTGGGTATTTTTAACCTTTTAAAATAATTTTAACTCTAGAAGAAACAGATCTCTTATCGTTAAACAGTTAAAATAAAGATAAATAGCATAGAATTACTAGATGTATTTTTTCCAGTTCCTTTCGTTTGCTGCCGTTATTCAAGTATCTGAAATTTAAGTTTATCCAATATCATATAATTACCATCATCGGATACTCACGGTTGATTAACATGTAACATAACATAAATGTTAATGGTTCCGCCGTGGTTATCAGACGATGCATAATTACTAGCACCATTTGAATGAATTTTGTACCTAAATTTATATCACAAATTCTTAACTCTTTTAACTTGCATAAACAAAATTTTAGCGACTTAAAATGAAAGTTATTGATGACTTAAGAACTTCTTTAACTAATCAGAGATTAATGAACCATATACATGTACATCGGACATAGATTTTAAACAAAATTATATAACATGTTTTTGACCAAATCGCCATTCTCCCAAATGAGCCTTGCATCAACCAGAAAATTCAAGTGGTCCGACGGACCAGTGGGTTTTAAAATTAGGTGGTCCTTGCCAAAATCAAGTAGTCTCGGATCAACGGACCACCGCTAATGTCGAGGCCTGCCCATATAGACATCATTTAGGGTTCGTCTCACAATTAGCGTGAAATGTACTTGGTAATTATAAAAATTGATTATTCTTATTTACTTACTGGTCAATAGCTAATATGTTATCATTAAAAAGAAAATTTAAAGTAATAAAAAACATTTGAAGTAAAATTACCAGTAATTGCTTTATAAATTCTAAAACACAAAGATTTATATAATTACCATGACCTATTATTGTATTTTATATTATTTTTAAGAAAAAAGGAGCAGAGTAGATAACTTTTCAATCAAGCGGGTATCTTGAATACCGCAACGCGTCGTAGGTTTACATAATTCTGTAGTTGTCTGAATTCTGTGCATTAGTATGTATCACGTTTATTCAAAAATAATGAAATTGATTAGGTTCGATGGGATACAAAAATATGTTACCCTTCTTATTTCGGGTGCGATGTTTGTGTGCTAAAACTTTCCGTAGGTTTCAACTTTCACAAGAAATATTATTAAGAATAAGTTTTGAAGTGGAGCATTCAATAAGCGGCAATAAGTGTGTTTTTTTAGACTTTAAGTGTTACATATTATGTTAAAAGGAAGGGGAGATCGAGTCAAAGAGAAACACACAGTGACGTCCTCAATAATTTAAGCCTTCCTAAAATTTGAAAATATTTAGTGAAAAAACAATAGCATATTTTTGCGGGAGAAAAAATACCGCATATTGTATATTTTGTAGCTAAAAGAGTAGGATTTAACGAAGTCTTGAATAACGAGATAATATATAGGGAAATCATTTCTGAGAAAAATATAAAATAGTTTAAAAACAAAATCAAAACGAAGGTTATAGATTTATGTAATTAATGGAAGAAGTATTGTACTGTTATAGATTCGTGTCATTAAGTGTGTTTAAAATTGATTAAATGTTATCAAAAGTTTGATTATTAGGCTAATATATGAATTTAAGGTGTAATTTTAACAGTTAAGTTGCGAAATCTGGGTATACAAAAATTATTTTAAATGCCATCTCAAGACAAATTTAGCTCAACGCTTAAAATTATCTGTATGAGGTTACATATGCTTAACTGCCCTCTGTCAATGCCGCAACTGGAATCATCCATAAAAAGCGCTAGGCATTTTTGTTACGTCATATATTTCGTAAATTGTTGTTGATGTAATAAAGTTTTTTTCTTCAAGAGTTTTAAACATTGTGATGTTGACATGTAAAATTGATGGACTGTTGATGAATTATGGATTTGGAACATACTGAATTATGATGTGTTTCATTTACATATTTCATTTGCTAACCCAGATAACTCCACAAATTGAACAATGTTTTAATAATGAGACGGATTAAGAGTTTAAAAAATCTGGATACTAAACTGTTACATCTTGTAGATCATGCTTTGTAAAATAATCATGAAACGACCCCGACAACCTCATGTATATTTTAGAAACATGACAAGTGCTTTCTCCCGTTCATCTTCAAATGAAGAGTACTTCGGCAATGGCTACGGAAAATAAACAACAGAGATTTACCATAGAGAAATCAAAATTTGCTTTCACAAGAAAAGTAGACACTTTAGAGAAAAATCCTGAAAAATCTTGAGGGTGACTTTTTTTTAGTTTACAAAAATAATTTAATTTTTATTCAACCTTGTTTTGTTAATTCACACCAGGCAAAAGTTCATTTCCATTTTTAATGGGACAGACTATAGGTATACTTTATGCAAAATTTTTTTATACTGAAATCTGTCTTCAATTGGCCATAGCTTTGTACTTTAACCAATATATAAATAAATAATATATAAAAAAATATTTTCAAACAGGAAATTTAAGAGTGAAGAAGTCAAGGTGGAAATAAATGATGAAGTATCAAATGATCTTACAGATGTAGACTATGATGAACTGTCGAACTCTATCAAGGCTAGGGGAAAACAGGATAATAAAACTGGCACTGAAAACACAGAACAAATGGAGCCAGATGACCTTGTAGCAAAGTTAATCTCAGATTACCATAAAGGCAATCTGCACTCAAATAAATCTGGTACAAAGAGGAAAATGAAGAAACCTAAAGCATCTAATGAACTTGATTATGATGTTAGTGACATTCATGATGATGATGAGGAGGAACCAGTACCTCCAATAAAAAAGAGGAAATCTACTCAGAAAAGTGAAAAGGAGAGTAAAGAAAAGAAGTCAAAAGTAACACCTAAGAATGGTAATCAGAAGAAAGCTAAAAGCCCTGAACCTAAAAAACCATGGGTAAAAATACAGCTTTCAGAGCATAAGGATAAATATCTTGTAGAAAGTTTAAAATCTTTTGCACATATGAAAAGGAGTAACACTGCTGTCGAGACTTTATTTTCATGTTTAGTTTGTAATCATTTTAAATGTGGATCAAAAGATGTATTTGAAAATCATATAGAGAAGCATATAAACAAGGTGTTTAATTGTGAGGGATGTCAGTATATAGGGAATAGTGAACAGGACATTCGTAAACACAAGTGGACATGTTGTAAAAGACCAAAGAGGGAAAGCGTATGCTCACTATGTGGTCATTGGACTGCTTCTTCTGAAAGTCGAAGGCATCATCTAGGAAAAGTGCATGGTATACCTAGTTGGAAGTGTATGTTCTGTCCTGACATGTTCAAGACAAATGATGAAAGAAAAGATCATATGAGAACTGTCCATGAGGAGGCCTGCCAGTACTGTGAATCTTGTAAATTGTGTATGTTATTATTAGCTTTCTTATCCTTTACCATGCTGCCTTTGTATAATAGACATGTTTTACATTGAGTTTTGAACTTCTGTTATAAACATGAATGGTTTTGATATCAAAATGTAATTATTAAGTAGCAGGCAATATTGAAGTCCGGTCAGATTGCCTAGGCTTCATACTGGTTGCCAAACTAGGTCATATGCTCTGCTAGCATCACTTGCCCCTCGCCATTGTAGGTTCAAATCCTGTCCAGTGCTTGGGGTTCATTCATGTGAGGAAGTTATCCAGTTAGCTTACAGAAGGTTGTTGGTTCTACTCAGGTGCCTGCTGGTGCCTGAAATAATGCACAAAGGAGAACTTGAGATCCTTCTCCACCAGTAATTCTGGAAAGTCTTCATATGACCTTTACTGTGTCAGTTTGACTTTGAATCAAAACAAGTCAAAACATCTCTGCTAGCATTAGTATAAGGATTATGATGTCATGTTTTCATGACAATTTGGATATGAGTTTCAACTGTTTCTGTTAAGATGCTTTTATAAATCTAAGATATATTCAAAACTCTTTTCTTTCCCAGTTTATTAATATCATGTAATCACCCGAATTTACTGAGGTTTTTAATCCTTAATTATATCTCTATCAAATAGAATAATTGACCTCTGTTAAGTTTAATATATAATTATGGTACAAAATACATGCATTTGAAAATTATTCATATATATTCATATATGAAACAGCACTGACAACAAATGCAATATTGCATATTGAAATGACAGTAATCTTTATAATTATATTTATATAAAAGAATGGACAAACTAAACTTTTTAAAAAGGTTCAATGATTCAAGAAATGATTTATTCTACCTTCAACAGGCAAGCATCTTCTCAGCAAAGAAGATTTCAAGGCCCATCTAGAAAATTGCAGTTCAAGCGTACAGTGTCAGATTTGTGGATTGTTGGTGAAAAAAAGGAGCATGAATATGCATATTAAGAGTAAGCATGAAAACATTCGGAAACATCAGTGTCACAGGTGCCCATATGCTGCAAAAACTGTAAGGAGGTTGAAAACCCATCTTCTATGTCACGACAGTAAGTTTTATTTTTTGTTTAGTTTTACGACAACCAATCCAGTTTAGGTCATATGGCGCCAAAACAAGGAAGATGATTTTGGTTAACCTCAGATGTTGCGTACTTCAAAGCAAAGCCAGTGGTCAACACCTCAACTGCTGCAGCTAAGCTATGCATAGACTCGTTATTCAAACCCATTTAGTTTTATTAATTTAAGATTGAATTCAAAGGTGAACAGCAAATTATACGACAAATTTCCTGACTCAAAAGTGATTAATATTGACAGTACTTTTGACTTGCCCTGCATTGAATTTGGATCTGTTCATTGTTATTTCTAAACTTTAATCTTTTGTCAGCAGCTTAATCTACCCATGAGAACAGTGCAGACCAAGATCAGCCGGCACATTATCATGGTCTGCACTGTTCTCTATTTAGCCAGTATAGATTTTCCCTAAATAGTTATACGATATAAGCCTTTGTGCAGACAAAAAGATTGACATGGAAATTTTAGATATTTAACATTTACAATGTATTTGATTCATGTCAAATTTGATATATAAGATGACATAAGTAAACAGCATCATCGAAGCCATAAATAAAATATTGCATAAGAAGGAGAAACAAAAGGGTTTTATAAAATAGGTTAAAACTTTTTAGGGATTTCAAATTGTAAAACATTATGATTAAGAGTAAAAATAACATGTATTTTAGACTGGCAATTGTGAAAAAAACACAAGATGTAAGTCTTAAACCCATGTATATAATACTATATATCATTGTTTATTTTACAGATATTCACCCATTTAAATGCAACATGTGCCCATTTAGCTGTATTCAACCCCACCATCTTAAGTCACACATGAGAACACATACAGGACCAGTGTAAAATATGCTGCAGCCTGGAATTTTCAACTCAAAGATCACATCAAAGTTCACAGTATTGCAACAGCTTTTATGTGCCAGGAATGTGATGTTGCTTTCAAAAATGAAAGGACTTTGAATTTACATACAAAACAGGAACACTGTTAGACTATGTGATTATATAATTACATTATATGAAATACTAGTATGCTATTTGTTGGTACTTAACCTAGATGAATTATAAATATAAATTATAAATTGAAATAATGTTATTTATTTATTAAAGGTAAGCTTTAGGCAAGAAATTCCTTTTGACAGTCTTGCATATATGCACTTAACATTCCTATTTATTGTTTTTAAAGAGTATAAATCTATATCTGATGAAATTTTTATAAAATTTATCAACTGTAAAATTATATTGGTTCCATAATCTTACTGTTGATTCTCGAAAGAGGTGTAACATAGAATGTCTCTGTAATTTTAAACACATGAATGTTGTACGCAAACAGGATAAAATGTTACAGAACCATATATTATATAAGAGGCGGTATATTGTTTTGCTAATGTCGGTCTGTCAGTCTGTACACCACATGGTTTCGGCTGATTATCTTGAAAACCATTTATCATAAAGTCTTCATATTTCACATAGTGATTGGTCATAACTAGTAGATGACCCCTATTGATTTTGGGGTCACTAGGTCAAAGGTTAAGGTCACAGGGGCCTAAAATGTCAAAATTGTTTCCGCTGATTATCTTGAAAACTATTCATCCCAAAGTCTTCATATTTCACATATTGATTGTTTATAACTAGTAGATGACCCCTATTGATTTTGGGGTTACTTGGTCAATGATCAAGGTCACAGGGGCCTTAAATGTCAGAATGGTTTCCACTGATTATCTTGGTTACAATTCATCACAAAGCCTTCATATTTCACATATTGATTTGTCATAACTAGAAGATGACCCTTATTGATTTTGGGGTCACTAGGCCAAAGGTCAAGGTCACAGAGGCCTTGAATGTAAATAAGATTTCAGCTTATTATCTTGGTTACTATTTGTCACAAAGTCTTCATATTTCACATACTGTTTGGTCATTACTAGTAGATGACCCGTATTGATTTTGGGGTCACCAGGTCAAAGGTCAAGGTCACAGGGTCTTTGAATGGTCTTCATATTTCACAAAGTATTGGTCATAACCAACAGATGATCAGTATTGCTTTTGGGGTCACTAGATCACAAGGGCCTTAAATGTGAGAATAGTTTCCGCTTATTATCTTGAAAACTATTCATCACAAAGTCTTCATATTTCTAATATTGATTGGTCATCCCTATTGATTTTGTGGTCACTACGTCAAAGTTCAAGGTCGCAGGGGCCTTTACTGTCTCATTATCTTGAAAACTATTCATCGCAAAGTCTTCATTATTTTTATGCCCCCGGGCATATAGTAATTGAACCGTCCATCTGTCTGTCTCTCCGTACGAGGTTAACCTAGAACGGCAAGTTGGATTTTTCTTAAGTTCTACCCGTACCAATGGCTTCTTTGTTTACACACTTACTAATCAATACAAAGTACATAATCTGGTCAAGTTACATAACTATGGCTTCCATATTTACCATATTTTTTTTCCATATTTACCAAGTTATTGCCCTTTTCAGCACTTAAAAAATGAATAATGGTTAACCTTAAACGGCAAGTTGGAAATATCTTAAGTTCTATCTATACTAATGGCTTCATAATTTCCACACTTACTTATCAATACAAAGTACATGGTATTGCCAACTGTCATCCATATTTCCCAGTTATTTCCCTTTTTTCATTTTGAAAATAGGGCCTTGTCTGATTAACCTATTCCGGCAAGTTGGATTTATCGTAAATTTCTCTTAATTGCTTAATTTATTTAATGATATCTTGCATATTTGGTAGGTGGATACCTTTTATGATCCTCTATTTTTTTGTGGAGTAAGTGGTCTCTAGGGTCAAAGTCAAGGTCACTGGTTTAGAAAATAAATTTAAACATTTTTGCTCATACAGCCTTTATTTTTTGGTCTGTGTCTTTCATGTTTAATACAAACATGCCAAGGGAGGTCCTCCTTCTTTGGGTATAGTAAGGGGTCATTTGGGTCAAGGTCAATGTCACCAATGTCAAGGTCACCAATGTTAAAAATAGATTTTTACAGGTGTATTAACCATATTCAATAGACAGATGTCATTTATAATTGATAGGAACATAAAATTTGATGGAGTTAGTGGTCAGTTGGGTCAAGGTCACCAGTGCTAAAAATATATTTTTACACTTTTGCTCATACAGCCTTTATTTATTGACTGATATATTTCATATTTGGTAGGAAGATAAATTGCAGGTATTCATCCTTTTGACTGGGGTAGGGATCAGTGGGTCAAGGTCACTTGTGCTAAAAATATATTTTTACACTTTTGCCCATACAGGCTTTATTTATTGACAGGTGTATTTCATATTTGATAGGAAGAAAACTTGCATAGTATTCTTCCTTTTGATTGAGTTAGGGACCAGTGTGTCAAGGTCACAAGTGCTAAAAATAGATTTTTACACTTTTGCCCATACAGCCTTTATTGACAGATTTATTTCATATTTGATTGGAAGATAACTTACATGGTATTCTTCCTTTGGACGCATTTAAGGGTCAGTTTGGTCAAGGTCGCCAATGCTCAAAATAGATTTTAACATTTATGCCCATATAGCCTTTATTTATTGACAGGTGTATTTCATATTTGGTAGGAAGATAACTTGCATGATATTCTATTGGTGTCAGTGGGTCAAGGTTAAGGGTGCCAACTATAGATTTCTTACATTTATATATATTTGATAAAGTTGAATATTTATCACTTCACAAGTCATAGCAATGATTTGGAAACTTATATATATTTCACAATTACAAAATGCCATGACCCTGTCAAGCTATATAACTTGTGTTTACAATTTTTTGGCAATGTTTCTGTCCGTAACTGAGTGAATGGGTAAACATTTTTTTACATATTGCTACTGACAAGAATCGGAGCGGTGGGCATTTGTGTTTAACAAACTTGTTCTTTTTTCCAAAATTGAATACTTCAATGTACCCATTTATGGCAAGTTACTCGAACAAAATTACTAATAATGTGAGTGGGGGGCATATGTGTCATTGACATTTCTTGTTTTAAGTAGAGTTTTATCCATTTAGCAATGATTTTATTCATACGCCAATCGCTTTTAAGGCAAGAAAATTCCAGATTTATTTCAAACAACCATTTTGGATGTATTCTTTTTTAAAATTCAAACAACAATTTTTGCAGCAGATATACATGGATAGGTTTATACATTTTAATGTTGCAGACTAAATCATTGCCCCTTACTGATGTAGGTTTAAATCTCAGGCAGGGTTATAGTTAAAGGCTAATAGCTAATGCTATTGCATAAATTGGTTACTTTATTTCATGATTTGTATTTTCATAGTCCCTTGGAAAATGAAGGTTTTTTCTAAACATGTATATTTCAGCAAAATGCTTTAATTGTATGTGTTGTACAACTAGATCCAAACAATTTTTCGATACGATTTTTTTTGAATACTTAATTAATATTGGTTGTTTTAAACTCATATTAAAGAAACATTGATAATGATAGTGTTAAAGGTGAAACTATTTTTATGCCACCGCAGCATCTGCGATGCGGTGGCATATAGCGATTCTCCTCTGTGTGTCTGTGTGTGTGTGTGTTCTACTTACAAAATCTTCTTGTGGAAAACCACTTGTCCAATTTCAACCAAACTTGGCAGGATAGATCCTTGGGTAAAGGGCTTCCAAAGTTGTTCAAAGAATTTCATTCCATGAATTTCATTCCATGCTCACCGCATATTTACTATCAGTTTAGTTTGTAATATGACTTAGGCAGATTGATCGTTTGATTTATCAGCCACCACGCATGGAACAGAAATGGTGTAATCATTGAATAATTGGATGGAGAGTAAATTTACAGACGTTACAGTTGCTAACAGTAATTCGGATGGTAGAACCTCGCGAATAGCTCCTCATTCGGATCTTGCTAGGTCATGAAATCTCGACTTTCAGGACCATAGATGGCCGCGGATATCTTCACCTTCGGACCGTAGACGGTCGTGAAACACAGAAAATGAGTCACATAGTGAT